AAGGATTCCAGAAGCGATCTCTAGATTTTTCTCATTCTAACCAGATTCAATATGGGTTCGTTCAGGTTTGGGTCTGCGGTTTTGGATACTGGGTGGAGACTCCGGGGTTTGTGGTGTAGTCTAGGATAAACCGCATAGGCTTTCAGGTTGAGGGCGGAGATGGCTATCGATTTCTTCAGACGTTTGGACCAAACAGACAACTTAATGGTCTTTTCAGCCGCAAAAACTGAGACAGTAGCTTGTTGCCCTTTCACGGCTAATGCACAAATATCGAGCTGCACAACTCACGACTGAAGAGCTACGGGATTATGATCACCTTCAGCCAAAAAGACCTACCTTTTTAGGGTTCCTTATTATGGTTTCTATATGTGGATCCTTAAAAAGGTAGGTCTTCTCGGCTGCTTAGGACCGCAAACCCTGAACCCTCAAGGCCCTCCAGGGCGTAGGTTCTAGGGGTTTAGGGTTTAGGGTTTAGGGTTTAGCCTTCCCCCTGTGAGTATGCGATCTGCGGCAGGACTGCTCTACAGAGGAGTACAGAGCTGAGCGAGCAAAAGCAGCTAGAAGAGACTACCCGCCAAACACCGAGCCCCACACCCAGAACCCGACACCCTTGATTTTCGAAACTGGAAGCGACAACACTCCCCCCTCCTCAAACAAAAAACAACCCTCAACCTCCAAACCCCTAAGACACTGCGCATTGAATCCTGCAGCTCTATATCCCGAACCCTGCATCCCAACATCCTAAACTTAAATTCCTTGAATCTAGCGACTCCAAAATCTCTAAATTTTCTAAACTGACAACCCTTCACCGAAGGACCGGGACCCGGGCACTTACGCTCATGTCACGGGCAAGCTCCCGGATGTTCGTCCCGTGCCCGATGGACGTCTCCAGAAGCCTTAGTAGGGTTTGGGGTTGGAGGGTTGGGGCTCAGGGTTTCGGGCTGGTAGGGTTTGAAGCTAACTGTAGCTAACTTTCAGAACTGTCTTGGGGCTGTCTCAGAAGTAGCCTGGGTTTTGGAGAGATCACACGAGAAACTCTGCTAAGCTCGAAGTCTGTCTGACCATCCTTATTCGCCGGGGCTTGGCGCCAGACCTTGTATCCCTCACCGTTATGTATGTATGTATGCATGCATGCATGCATGCATGCATGCATGCATGCATATATATATATGTACATATAAGTCAATACATACATATATAATACACATATATATATATATATATATATATATATATATACATATGCATACATATGTATGTATGAATGTACGTGTGTGTGTAGGTATGTATATATGCATGTAGCTTTAATTCTACTTACAACTATGCTTGTCGTATATACTGTACATATATATATATATATATATATATGTCTGTGTGTGTATGTATGTATATATATATACATATACATATACATATACATATATATATATATATATATGTGTATATATAATACACATCGGAAGAAGCCACAATTCTCACTAGCACGGCCCCTTTGTCAAGATGCCAGAACCCTTCATTCGACCCGCTGGTGCATCGAGCAGCATGTTCCCATAGTCATCCGTCGACGTTCTCTCCAAGAACCTAGGCGAGGTTTCAGGTTTACAGGGTCGAGGGAGTAGGTTTCAGGCTCAGAGATAGGAAACAAGGCCCTGAATCCATGATTCAATTTTGGGAAATCCAAAACTCCCGACGATAAGCCACAGTCAGAGGAGTTGCTTTGTGCAAACCGGAAGCTCTCAAATTGGCCTCTGCGTCGTGTAGCAATAGGAACTTGAGTTTTGACATCTCTAGTTTCAATTCAACCCTAAACCCGACCTAAAGCCTCAAGATCTATGTGTAATCGGACAATTGAGTCATTCTTAGAAAAAGCCATGTGTTGCCCCTCTCATCCCATGAAACTCGTTCCTGAAAGCTTATGGGCCCCTTCTTTAAGGGTCCATATACCCAGGTACGCAAGGTCGTCGGCGTCGGTGTCTTTGAGAAGGCTTTACGAAGGGCTCGCCAGCCCACAACCACAAACCGTGAATTCACCCTATCAAGGCAAACACAGCAACGCAAACCAGGGGTTTAAAGGGTAACTGACTCTGAACCCCTAAACCCATATGGGAGTTTCCAAAAATAGGGGACCCAAATATAGCACCCTAAATAATAGGATCCTTATTTATTAAGACCCCCAAAATAAGGTACCTCCGGTACCCCCTAATTTGCGGAAACTCCCATATCCTTCCTGTTTTAGCCGGGTCACTGCAGCAAGGTCTTCCTCTGCAGCTGCCTGCGGCTTCTTTGAAATTGATGGTGCCTACTTCTGGGTCTTCGTCAAAGAAGCATCTCAGTCTATCTATGATCTATGTGATATAGGGTCGTCAAAGAAGCGCCTCAGTCTATCTATGTGATATAGGCTATATAGCGTCGATTTTCCGACATCCCCAAATGATTCTCGCACACCTGCGTGAGGTTAGTGCCAGCGTTCATCTTTCAATGACACTGGGACGCCTGGGCCTCCCTGGATACGCCTTCTGGAGCCCATGGCTGTAAAGGACTTAGGCTTTGGATTTTGCGCCTACGTAGGGTCCAGGAGTTGAGAGTCCAGGGTTATGGTGCTTGAATTGGCAAGCTTTCCTCAGTCCGAAACCATACCTAGACTGCTCCCCAAACACGACTTTAACAGGGTTTTGTAAAAGGCAACTCGTAGAGCTCAAGTCCACGCCTAACCGTCGATGGAGCTTGGTAGTGCAGGTCCTCCCAAGGATGGGACTTGGCCGATTGGCGTCTGAGGGGTCAGAGCTGAGGCTCGGGGCACTGACTTCAGGGTGTTGGACTTCGTGTTTTCACAGTGTCGGGTACACTAAAGAACAAACATTTAGGGGCTAGAAAAGGATACCAGTACTTCTCATGATGATTCAGAACTCCACGTTGGGGGTTTAGGCTTGGGGAGTGGTCCGTGTTGTTTTGGGGCATCGGGCCCCGAAGATCAACCTGGCAGCACAACCAGGAAGTTGGAGTTCTTAGTCGCCTCTCTTCCAAACCTGCTTAATTAAGCTTCTTCTTGATGCATTGTTCTTCCCTGCCCGTCTTAGCAGTGCGGACACACGTCCTTTGACGCGACATCTTCAACCTCCAGACTACGGATCCTGTGCCATCATAAATACCTTAGAGCACCAAACACGAATCCTGAAGCCGACAGCCATCACCTTACAGAAATCCTCTCTCTCTGTGGACCGACCGAAAGGGACACTAAAACATGCTCATTTGTCGGTAGAAATCCACATGGCTACATGGCAGTCAGTCTTCCTGGACTTCCAATAATTCCAGTATCAGGGGCCTGAAAAAGCCACTAAGCACTCATACCTGGTCGCTCACTCATATGCCGATATGCCTGGCTACCTACACATGTGCACTTCTTTAGATTTAGACTTGCAAGGAGGCGGCATACATCCAGGCATGCACTCATATGATTCCTAACTGCTATGTGAAGCAATATCAACCCTAGCAGAAAGCTGAACCCTTAGTGCGCAAACCTGCACAAGCCCGTATCTCCAGAGTCAAAAACGGGTCTCTTCGACTCCTGCGTCTGCAACAGCAAGTACTTCCTTTTGAAGCCCTGGGAGGTGCGCGCTGGCAAGTCGACACTTGAAGTCAAGGCTTTTCCGGTATCGTAGGACTTGCATGGGATGTTCTTGAGGGCTCCTTGTCTCACCGCTGTCATGACTGTGAAACTTCCTATTAAGGGAGGAGCTTGTGGGTTGGAAAGTGCGACATTTAGCTAGGTTGTGGGGCTTTCGGGTTAGAGCTTGAGTTTATGCTTAGAGTGCCCAAGCCCTCCAAAAACGTGTATAGGCTTGTGGACAAACAATCAAAAGAAGTTTGCACTGGGACGTACTGCTAGCGTTGTATCATGATCTATATTAAGAGCCCTCGGAAACAGTCAAAGGGCAGATCACGGCAAGAGCAACGTCCCGCTAGCAGACTCCGCATACGAGTCTTGCACTCAGCTGCAGAAACGATATCATTCAGCCCCCAGAAATTTAAGGGACGTCAACGCGATGATGTAAGATTTGCGATTCAAGCATGTTCGTGTTTCATAACTCTGGATTCATGCAAGGATGTCGGGTCACAAACCCCAAAATCTGAACCCCCAAAACCCTGCAGCCCAAAACGCGGCAAACAACGAACCCCTTAACAACAAGTCTTCGGCACCTAGACGCTGAACCCACGGCTCGGCTCAAAAGTGAGGCGCTCCCCGTGTTTCAGCCCAATATTCCTTTTTAAAACCTTCAGTTGCTCCGTGTGAGCTACTGTTTAGGGGAGCCAGGGTTTTGAGCGCAGGTCATCCATGGGATTTAGGGCTTCGGGCATTTGAGGTTTGAGCCTTCAGAGGTTTAAGATTTCAAGCTTCAAGCTTTGCGGCAGCCAGGTCACATTCCACATGTCGGCGCGGTACACCGCATTGCCAGCAGCGAGGAGGAGGAGAACGCACATCTGACAATGAGTGAGGCCGCAAAGATTCTAAACCTTCAGCCTAACCTTTCGAAAGTCTGTCAATCCAACATCGGCAAAGATCAACCACTAGGGTACGGAAGCTTCCTTAGATCCCCTCAAGTGAGCTGTTCACCAACAGGCCTGGAACTTGGAGATGTAGCTGTTGAGGCTCAGCACATCCTGTCGAAAAACGAGGCTGTGCCAAGGATTCTTCCACACACCACAGGGGTCTTCAGAACATCGCTGAGCAATTTTAGGGGTAAGGATTTCGGCAGATGGTACATTTTACTACTACTCCGCGACAAGTTGCTGTTGCTCGGCTTCTGGCGGGATGCTGTACAATCATCTCTACCCCAGCCAGGGGCTCAAGACGTTGTTAGACTACGGTTTTGGGCCCATTATACGATATGATTGTACTAAGAAACCCCAAATATCTAAATAGTATTTTGGTAAATAAATATTCAGGAACTGAAGACTCGGGCCCAGGCGGCTGAGCCGAGCTGAAGGCCTTCGGCCCCCTTTCACGACTCCTGGCCCGCCCCTGTCATTCGGTAAATAAAGGCTTGGGCTTGCTGAGAATTGGTGATGCCATCCTCAAGCAGGCCCCACGCCACGAGACTAGCATCAGAACGCCTGGCGCAGAAGGCAGCTGAGTCGGCCCAGAGATCTTCAACGCAAGCAAGTTCCTCCTCAAGATCGTGGCTGTATCCTCCACACAGAGCATCGCCCCAGGTGATCACCACACCGTCTGACCTCAAAGCCGCAAAGGCCTTCCTGGTCGCTGCAACCGTCCTTACAGCTTGCAGCTGCGATTGCACCCGTCCGCTCTCACCCCCGTACCCGGGATGCCCCCAGGTCACTACGCTACCATCTGCAAGGATGGAAGCGAAAGCCCCGGCCGTTGAGATAATTTCCCGGACTCCTTGGAGCTGCTCGCTCACTTGGCTGCTGTTGCCGCCCCATGCCTCCTCTCCCCAAGTGATCACGCTACCATCCCAACACAATGCGGCAAAAGCACCGTCGCAAGCGAAGAGACGCGACACTCCTCGTAGCTGTCTTTGGACCCCGTGGCTGTCACCGCCTTGTGCTCGATTTCCCCAGGTAACCACTTGGCCGTCGGACCGCAGCGCAGCGAAGGCCGACCGTGAGCCCTTGAGCTGCTTAACTCCCACCAGCCATCGTCGCACCGCCCAAGTGCTACCTCCAGAGCTCGGGGCGCCCCAAGCGAACACGCTTCCATCATGTCGCAGGGCGGCGAAGGCTCTTCCAGAGGCCTCAACCTGGGTCACGCCAACAAGTTGCACAGCACTGCTGTCCCCGCCAGCTGTCATGCCACCCCAGGTGGTGACGGTGCCGTCGCTGTGCACCGCAGCGAATGCCTCCGAGTTTGCGACCAGTCGTGCCACATCTAGGACTGGATGCTCCCGGGGCATCTCACCATTCTCGGAAGTGAACCAGGTCACCACACTTCCATCCCGCAGGAGCGCTGCAAACCCAAACCTGGCAACCTCCACCCACTGGACCGGCTGCTGCTTCACCTGTTCTGGCATCGCTTCCCAGCGCCATCTACCTCGGCCGAGCTGGAAACAGGTACCGTCCGGCATGATGGCCACAAAGCCGTGGCCGGTCTGGCTGGAGCACAAGCGACGGAAGCTCCGCGCGCAAACAGCCTGCACGACGGCCCCCTCTTCCAGGCCCTCTTGCATCAAGCTTCCGGTCTCGTTCAGTATCCTCCCACCAGCGGACAAGATGGGCCAAAATCCAATTGCATCCTTCACTTCTTGCTCCAATCGCCAAACCTTGGCAGCAGCATCCACGGCTACCTCGACAGAACGACCGCTCAGCAGCACCACCTGCAGCCGAAGGAGGCCTTCAGGGGCGCCAGACCGAGGGGGGATCTCCATTCTCTTCATGCCTGAATCCTAAACCCTGTAAACCCTAAACCCCTGAGGCTTTGGGAAGCTACCAGCTCAAGCCAAACGGCTCATGGTCAAGCATTAGATCTAAAGCTCGCCGCTGCTCCTCACATGTCTCTGCTAACCATAAGAACTGCCTTCCCGGCTTCAAGGTGGGAGAAAGGTTTATGCCTGTATCCCTCGACGGACCGCACCCCCAAATATACTGTTCTGGAAGAGCCTGGAAGCACTCACCACAAAACCGCAAGTTGCCTTGATATAATTATAAGCGCTACTGCTATTGGATGACAAGGCTACTCTGGGACAAGAACCCCGAAGCCCTACATCCTAATTAAGCCCTGAACCCCAAACCCTAAACCCAAAAACCCTCAATCCCTCAACCTCAGACGCCAAACCCTAACCAGATCCCTGAATCCTGAACCCTAAGCCCTGAATCTGGGGCTCGGTCGTAGAAAAAACACGGCGCTGCGACCAGCATCGGCTGATACTTCCAGCCCTGTCACAAACGAAGTGAAGGTTGTTTGGGTTTGGAGTTAGGGCTTTAAGACTATATATGTAGAGAGAAAGAGAAAGAGAGAGAGAGAGAGAGAGAGAGAGAGAGACAGAGAGAGACAGAGAGAGAGAGAGAGAGAGAGAGCGAGCGAGCGAGCGAGCGAGCGAGGCAGAGGGAGAGAGCGAGGGAGAGGGAGAGGGAGAGGGAGAGGGAGATATCCTATACACCCTAAACCCTCCACATGGGTAGCCAATCCTTGGAGCCGGGCCTGGATCGGGGATGCCCGGTCGTAAAGAGCACGCGCCCTGGGCCCGGGGGGCGACTTCAGTTCGGGGCTCACAGGGATTTGGGTTTAAGGCTTAAGGTTGAGGGTGGGTGTAAGGCGTTGCTTACAAAAAAACCCTCTCAGCTTCGTGGGTGTAAGGCTTGGACCAGCAGTCTTTGAGTGAGTCATCTGATCTTCCGGTGTCCTGTTTAAGCATCAGCATCTACTAGAAGCTGTGAACTGCCAGCTGTAAACTGCAACAGCATCCATGGGCGTGTCTGATCGGAAGATGAGTTCTTCTGTTTTACGTTTGGGGACATGGCTAATCGGGAGCGTTACAGCGAGTACAAGGATTTGGGTTCCCCCCCAAGTTACAGTAGCAGGGACTTACTACATGGGTAGCAAAGATGTAAGGGGGTTTACAGGGGGATTATATGGGGCTTACTAACATCTATATCTTAACTTAGGCCACAAGCACAATCTTAGTAGGGCTTTGGGCATCCTAAACCTCTGTAAGTAAGCACCTAGGCCCGTGAAACCTTCAACCTTCGAACCCCGAAACCCACGAACCCTCAACCAATCACCCCTTTCGTGCAGAACCCGGCGCAATCCTTACGAAGCGCAGGCCCCACTAGAGGAAGTGAGGATTTAAGGATTTATGGTAGAAGCCCAAAAGGTGGAAACACAATAGCCTCAATCCTTAAGAGTAATGTGAAAGGAATCCCAGCACGATTTGTCCTTAATCAGGTTTCCAACCTTTTGGGGTTTACTGTAGGGTTCTGGGTTCAGGGTTCCAGGAAGCGATCTTGAGGTCATGGCATGGCGACGGGCGTCACGAGCTTCGAGAGGCAAAAGATTGCCACCTGCCACGGTTTGCAGCCAGGGGAGTTCCGGGCTTGCTGAAAGCCTTCGATACGAAAAGTTTGATAGTGAAATTAGACACACCCACACTATATATGTATTACTGTGTATATGTTTGTGTATTCAACCATCATGTATTTATTTAATGATGAAAATGATATACACCCACATTCAACAATGTGGTATGATACCAAGTAGTACTGTAGTACTGTAGCCTTTTCACAAGCCCTTCACGGGTCTATGAAGATTAAGACAGGGTGTGACTATTACAAGGTTGTGTCGGGCTGTTGGGTCCTAACACAAACAACATTCAGCAAGGCCTTAACACCGAAGCAAACTGCAGATTTGTTCCAGACCCAAACCCAACCTGTGAGTCGGGCGTGTGAATTCTGAGCCGGTAAACCTGGCTAAAAACCATGCAAAACCCTCAGCCCTTAAACCTGACCTTACACCCCTGAACATCCCTAAGCCTCTTCGCCGAAACCAACAAAGAAAACTGAACAAGCCCAAGACCGAGGTCAAGACCAAGATCAAGGTCACAGTCAAGTCCAGTCCGCCAGCCGACTCCTCGATGATTGGGGTGAGAGCTTCAGGATTTAGGGATACTTCTATAATTAGGCTTTTTATCATATGTGGTGGGGCCCAAAGGGGTTTGGATGGGTTCAGGGCCTGGCCGGCTCCTCATGGGTTTGGGGCTGGTCAGAAATAGGGCGTATAGGGATGTACATGAAGACACTGAGGTAAAAAAAAAAAACATGGGATAACGAACCTTGGGCTGCCAAGGTTTCACAGAAGCTAAGCAGAGAGCTTGAGCTTCAAGGCTCCTTCTTCGAGGGTCTCAAGTCAAGTACTGGAGCTTTTCCGTCTACCTATTCAGGCCACAGACAGCAGGGTTCCAGATATTGAATTCTGCCGTGCCCCTTCTTCGAGGCGAAAAGAAGCCTCAACGTCGAAAGCCGTAGGTTCCATGCTGAAGTCTCAACGTGCACTTTTGGGATTTGGGATCAAGGTGTGTTCGAGCCTAAGAAGCTGCCGAAAAAAACCCGATACTTCCGGAATGCGCGAGGAGTCAGCGCTACGGGCCCGAATAATTTGTAATCCATGGTGACCTCTTTCAGTTCGCGTCGAAACAAGACAGCCCATTGCAAGCGTCAGGGCCCCTATATACCCTAAACCCACACAGAACCGCTTTGAACACCTGCTTTGGAGGTTCCTTGTTGTACTTATGTAGGATAACAGGCCCCAAGACCCTGTTCTAATTATTGAGGCATCTCTACTTATTGATCTACAATGATAAAAACAATAACATTAAGAATGAGAATAACTACAATAATAATTATAACAATAATTATAAGAGTAATAATGATGATAACAATTTTGGCAGGCCCTCTCTTAGTGATTGCGGCGGAGCGGCGACAACCTCCTGAGGATCTCCAGACACTTGAACCTGGCCGGAACTCAGTACACTTATGGGAGTTTCCGACAATAGGCTTTTTTTTTTGGAGGGCCTTTTTGAGTCTGCATGACAGAGTCTGACAGCTTCCTCAGCCCATATTGGGCAGGCAGAAAAGAGAACCCTCGGCAATCTCCGCAATGTGGCCATATAGGCTTTAGGGTTTAGGGTTTACGTAGCATCCTAAGTAGTAGGATCTTTCATCTAAGGACCCCAAAACAAGGTTGAAAGAAGGGTCGAGGCCAGGGGCCTAGCACCAGGGGTAGAGAGTGTAGTGTACTACGACTTATAACAGCCTATGTTAGAAGGGGCCCCCACCCTGTAATAGTGGTATAATCGGAATATAATAGGGCCCTAATATATTCTTATAGTCACTATTACGGGGTGGGGGCCCCTTCTAAAGCCTATGTTGTACGGAATAGCAACCGCGATACTTATAGTAGGAAGCTGTAGCTCCTTGTATTTCGGCTCTCAATTCCTGGATCTGGGATCAGGAGGACGTGGGCTCGGGCATCCCAACACCCTTGCCGTATATCGTAGTCTTACCGGATGCCGTTTCGCACTAGGGGCATCGGCGGTCTGAAAACGCTAAGTTGCGGGTGATAGGGCTTATGGGGGTCGAAGGCTAGGTTCCCCAGAAGCCCCTTAATTTATAAGAGTATCTTTTTTCCCACCATTTGGTTTTAATAAGGGAGCCCAAAAATAAAAGGACAAAAGGGTGCTACTGGGCAACCTAGGCTGGGGGGTTATCGCTAAGCCCCCTTTGGACTTATCTGCGTTTCGCCTCGGACTTGCCGTCCTGAGCCTCGGGGTCTCAGAGCTGTGACTCCACAAGTCCCTAGAGCTTGCGCCTAACTCTTGATGCCTAAACCCTAAGCCTACACCCCTAAACCCTAAACCTCAAACATTAAACTGCAAAGCCTAAACCTAAACCCTGAAAATGAAACCCTAAAACTCCTTAAGCCCTAAACCCGCACGCCCTACAACCTGCACCCAGCAGCACCAAAATAGACCCTGCACTCCTAAAACCTACCTCTAAAACCTCACCCCTAAGCCCTAGACCATAAATCCCCTAAACCCTATAGAACCTAAACCTTAACTATCCTCAACCTTCCGACAAAAAAGCGAGAGAAATCCTGAGCTCCCGAGCCGTGGCGGCACCCTCCGCCGCAGAGGCGGCTGCTGCTTCCAGGGACATACCCAGAGCCTCGGGGTGTGTTTTTTTAGGGGACATAAGCTTTATGGGGTTTAGGGGGTTTTAGGGGGTTTTAGCGGTTTTTAGGGGACATATAAGCTTTTTCGGGTTTAGGGGGTTTTCGCGGGAGCAACCATGAATCATCATCGATATCATGAATGCAGTTAATCATTGCTTGTTGCTTACATGCAAGGAGCTTTAGGGACTGGGGTGCTTCGGGGGCAGGGCCAAGTTTGAAAACTTCTGCAAAGGCACTAACATAGCAGCCTTAGCAATTGGACAAGACTTTGGGGGGTCTGCTCTGCTGAGAACGAAACAAGGATGACACTGTGCACACTGCAAGGGGATAGTACTGCCAAGTATTCACACTTCTATAGTACCTCAGTGCTGTAGGGTGGAGGGTGGTTGCCGGAAATCCGAACTATGGTGTAGCCCAATGTAGTCGGATCCTATCGCCGAATTTAACACAGTCCAAAACCCAAGCCTTCACCTTCAACTAGGTTTGAGGGCACGGCTTCACCAAGAGTCCTAGATTGCGATAGCATTGGCTCGGACATCGCTGGGTGCAACGAGCCCCCGGCAGTGCCCACACCCGTGCCGGTCTGCGGGAAAAGCCCCTGACGAGACCAGCGTCCCAGAAAGAACACTGACTGTCCGATAGTTAGTGCTTGTGCAAGCTCAAGTTAGAACTTAAGGCTCAGTAGATAGTGCTACGTAGTATTATCTTCCAGAAATGGCATGATGAAAGGGAACACTCTCAGGATGCATTTTTCTAGTCGCAGCTAAGAGGGTCTGGGTTAAGCTTCGAATTGGATCAAGAGTCTGAAGTGAACTGAAACGGCTTCTCGGATGCTTCTCCAGCCAGACTGAATGCAAAGGTATAGAAACATCGACCGGCACCAACTGAACACACAGGGGAAGCGTCCATCACATGCTGTAGATTTTGGGTGTAAGCTTTGGATCTCGGGGCTGCACGGTTTAGCTTGTGGGCTTGGTTTAGCCTTCAGGTTAAACACCCAGCCCTCAGCCATAAAACTCAGACATGCACACCAAACACACCCGAATAAACCGTGCACGCCAATCCCCTCCGAAAAACATCCAACCAAGACATAGCCACAGCAACCAGATGATAAATCCCACATGCCAGGCACACAAACCAACTGTGCACAGCCACACACACACATGCCAAATGTTTAACCTCAATGAAGTAATGTCTTTGAACGGGACTGCCAACTTAACTCTAAACCTATCTAAAGTCTGTTTCAAAACCCCCATCCCGAAACCCACTCTGTAAACCCCAAACCCTGAACCGAAACCTGCCCTTTGAACACAGACCCCAAACGGCCCTATGCCCTTGAACCCCAAACCCGTGAACCCCCCCCCCCCCCCACAACCCCCCCCGCGCCCCCACTACAGACCCTAAGCCGTAAACCCTAAGCCAAACCTGAAACCCTACACCAAGGGGAGGCCTGGCTCAGGGTGGATTCCTCGATTAACCATGAGGCTAGGGAGGCCACCTGCCGTCAAGTGAAGAGATTTTAGGCTTTTCTGGGCTTCGAGTTCAGGATTTGGTTTAGGCTTAGTAGGGCGTTGGGTTGGGTCCCATGGCTTGGGGTTCAAGATTTAGCGCTTACGGCTTGTGGTTTACGGTCTAGGGCTCTGAATGTTACGTTGCCGCATGATGTTGCCATCTTAAAAAGTCTGGAGCCAGACATAGAACCTGAAAGCAATGTAACCTATTATGGACAGGCTGGACAGGCTTGTGATAAGTTGTTGTGGCTCTCCGATCCCTCGAGTGCTCCTTTTTTTCTCATGGTGATTGCTGCTGTTACTGCTGTTGCTGTTTTTGTTGCTCTTGTTTTCGCAGCTGCAAGGCTTATGTACAGGCGAGCTTGTAGGCTTGGGCTTGCAGCTCGGGCAACAAGGCAAGGCTCTGCTTTGGATGTATCAAATGGATAGGCACTCCGTTAAGGAAGAAAACGTACTTCCCAGACATGAACGGTGAGTTGCATCTCAGGAGCCCTCGTGTTATTCAGACTTTTCAACGTGATCTTCGCTCGCCCTGAAAAGGCAAGAACTTGCTTACAGGCTTCTGCAGCACGCTCGATTGTGCCTAGAACATTCGAGATTGGATCCGATACGTGTGGGTTCACGACGAGACATACCGCCGAGAAAGCGCTTGCAAGGCACAGGCTGTGGGTGCAGCAGTAGGGCGTCTCTTCTTACCTTTACTTAGTAGGGAATGGAAGAATGGTAGTAATAGTATTTTTAATGGTACCCCATTCCTCCATTCCCTACTAACCCAAGGTAAGTCTCTTGGGCATGTTGAAATTTGCCAAGGTGCTGGGAGAAGGTAGGTGAACTCGGTGAGGTTGTAGAGGTCCTTCCCCGGAGCAAAGGCCAGGGTTTAGGGTTTAGGGCCTAGGGTTTCAAAGGTCTGGCTTTCGGGGCTTCAGCCAAATATCCATACCTGTTTCAAGGTTCTACAACTTGTTGTTACCCTGCTTTCAACCCACTCTTACCCAGCCCCATGACCCTTGACCTGTGTCATGGATCCCTGAAACCAGCAAACTCCACTGCCCTAACCCTAGTCTCAAATAGCGGGCCCTAACAAAACTGTCATAATTAACCATGTAGCGACAAGAAAAAGTATACACATAAGACGATATTCTTACTAGTCGCTCAACCTCCTATACCACAAAACAAGTCCCTGGCGTCCTCGGTTCCTAGCGGGCCCATCCCGTGCAACTCCGTGTCGCGCAAGCCGCTGTCGAAGACACAGTCCAAGACCTACGAAGCCGCTTGGCAATGCGGACAAGGCTACCAACATCCTTTTGAAGCACTGCTTAAGTCTAGGTTCAGAATCGTAAAGCATTCGTCATTGTTCGAGATTTTGTGTTTAGGGCTAAGGTACGGAGACCCTAACCAGGGCAAGATCCAACCCCCAAACGGAACCCCAGACCCGCAGGCCATACAAGACCTATATTTAAGCCCTATGAGACCGACGACGAAACCCCAAACATTGAAGCTTAAACTACTGGTACGGTTGATGATATAAATCCTCCATTACCCAAAATAAGGAATATACTAATATACCATAATTTCCATACTGTAGGGTCCTTAAGGTTATGCAGGATTTATATCATCAACCGTAGTTCTTCCGTCCTCCCCAGTACTCCGGATCATCCCTAAGACCCTAGGACCGGCAGTGGACTGATCCGAATGCTCGCTTCACCTCTTAACCTGAAGTTGCACAAACACCAAACCCCCCCCCCCCCCCCAACCCGTCTTCATCTGAGGAAATGCCAGGAAAGCCGATGTCCCCATGATCTCTACGGTTCGGGCTTCACCTGAACACCATGGATTCCTGAAGCCCAAGAGCTCTGAACCCTATAGACCCTAAACCCTATATTGTCGTGACAGCCTCATGCCTGAACCCTGAACCAAAAGAGCCTAATTAAAGCCTAAACCCTAAACCCTAAACCCTAAACCCTGAACCCTAAACCCTGAACCCTAAACCCTAAACCCCAAACCCTAAATTAAATCATGTCCTAACACGAGGCTCAAGAGTCGAGAAAGCCCGATCCCCGAACGAAGAACTCCTAGGCGAGGATCATGGGACGTCGTAAGTCGGGCTATATGTAAGGTTAACTCACGCCACAATCAGTGTTACGATCCCATTTAGGGCACTCATGGTGTATGAGTCCCATGATCGTTTATGTACCGCTGGGGTCCCGGCCAAAAGCATCGGCGAAGGAAAGTTACGAAAGCGATGCAGCGTCGGCCGGGCATTTGCCTGGAGATCCGTGCTGGCTACGTATCGGGTCTACAGGATCTAACCAGGACCCTCCTTGTACCTCAAATGGGGGTATATGGTCCCAAATAAGGGGCATTTAGAGGGTAGATGGAGGGTCTGGGAATGTAGGCCATGAGCCCTAACATCTAAATCCACAAGCCTGACAGGCTTGAATTGGCTCCAAACACCAAAGCCAGACTCCGGAATCTGTCCTTGTGGAGCAGAGTTTTTTTTGTTTGAACTCATTTTTCCTTGAGGCTGCTGTTAGCGACTCCAAAGGCTGCAGAGGGTTTGGTGCTCGGGGTCTTGGGTTTAGGATCCATAGCGGGGCGTTTCCAAAACCATAGCAGACTTGTGCGCCCGTTGGCCCCAGGAACTCGCATTCCCTTGTTGAGCCTGCCTTCGAGACTCTGGAAGTCGCACTTTGGAAGTGGGCAAACATACAAATAATCGAATGGTCAACCATGTAGGCTATTTTAGTTAAGAAACCCCGGCTGTTGAAACAAGATCTTCATGCGGGTCATATGATATTGGGATTAAGAACCCCTAGCTGCCAGCCGCTGAGGACCCTAGATCCTGAACAAGATTTTGCTTTTAGGAGCTGAAACCTCCACCCTCAAACTGAGGCTACGGTTCAGGGTTCCGGAACTCCAGAGAACACTCGAAACCCTGGGACCCCCACGTAGAAGAGCAGCAAGTTCTCCGGCGGCATGCTTGGCTCCTTTGTGTGGTGGAACGTGGCATACCTGGCCCGCTAGAGTCTACAGCAATCTTTAGGGCTTCGGATTGCTGGGTCTGGAGGCTTGGTAAAGCATGTAATCATTTAAACTCAATCAGCCCTCAAGGCGAGCTTCCTGGGGGTTAGTTGGGACATTGCAGGATTCACATCCCAAGTACCCCAAACACTACCAGTCTAGGTCCTGAAACCCTGGGCACAGAAAATCCTACGTTGCACGTGCTCCTTTCGAAAGGAAACCTTCCCAAAGGGCTCAATACCTACCATTCAGAGATACATATACCGACTTCGAACATTCGATCGTAGGACTCGCCACGAGGTCTGCACTTCGGCTTCGCTGCAAGTGAATTGAAGAAGTTGCCATGCCGATCTAAGCCCTACAGTAGTCCCTGAACCCTACGCCCATCATAGCAACAGCCCCACCTCAGCCTCGAAGTTCTCGAAGCCTTACCCCAAATATTAGACATTGCTAAGTCGTTAAAGTCTCTTGCCACCTCGACCGGATGAGCGCCGGAATAACAAATTTTGAAGCTCCCAAGACCCCAGAGGCGATACACCTAAGTAAACAAATGCAGCTACGAGTTATACTTGTACCCAGAGGCTCCATAGTAGTTCCTTTTTGGGATTACCTTATAGGATTCCAAATATGAACCCCAAAAAGGAGCTACTATGGAGCCCCAGGGTAGCACCCGTTTTAGTTTGGTATTTAGGGTTTAACTAGGCGTTGACGGAGGTTCTGGGCTTAGGGTTTAGCAACATCCCAAGACAGCAATCCCAAGCAGCTCCGAAACAGGGCACTTCCATTTGACGTAGATCGATCGCGTGACAAGGAAGAAGCCTGGGGCTCGCCGGGCTTAGGGCTTTGGGCCTTCAATGTTCTTTATGCGTGGTTGTCAAAATTATGGTCCCTTTTTGGGTCCTTGTTATAATACGGCACCTAATATTTAGGGTACCCACAAATGGACCATAATTTTGACAACCACCCATATAGGGTTAAGGGCTTGGGGCTTTCGGTTTTCCTCCCAACAAGAGGGCAATCGCACGGAAGGTTTTGTACAATTGATATATGGATTCGAAACTGAAGGGCAAGGGTTTGGGGATTTTCAACCAGCTGTAGATGGATGGATACTTGAATGCTCGCTGAACTGCCTCTGAAGATCATAGCCTTTCTGTTTCTGAACTTGCACTCCAGCACGCAAAGGATAAACCCTCATCAACCCATCGCAAGTACGGTTTAGGGATCTTTGATGTCAATAGTGCAGTCTTGGTGCGGTTTAAGCTTTTGGGAATCAAAGATGCAAAAGGCCACATTGCGGGTTGGGGGGATGTCCCAGGGCCTTCATTGGCCCTTTTTCAGCTCCTGGGGGCAGAACCTTGCAAGTTTCGAGAGGACCGGGCCGCCTCTGATATTCGACTTCGGCAAGCTGTGAGGGTATCTAGTTCATGGCCGGGATAGGATTGACAATTTAAACTTTTATTCCTTATTGGCTGGGGCTTAAGTACCCATAAAAATGTAAAATGTTACCCAACTATGGCAAAGGTATACCGGTAGTCCAGGCCACGTAATGACAGTCGCAGAGCTTTAGGTTGAAGCGTCATCAAAGCTTCCGGACTCATCTGGTGTCAGGGCATGTACTAGAGAAGCCTGAATACTGAATAACCAATACTATTCCTTAGGATTCCTGCTACGAACTACTGCAAAATCATATTCTCGTGTTTACGGCCACGATACGATGAACATCGGTTTCTCAGCAAGAGAGTTCCGACCGTTTTTTTGGGGGCTTATGAAGCTGTTGTCCGACTCAGGGCTTTGGGGCTTTGGGTCTTAGGGTTGGCTTTACCCATAGACCCCATAGTAGTTCCTTTTTGGGCTTACCTTACAGTGTTCTACATATGAACCCCAGAAGGAACTACTGTGAGGCCTGTGGTAGGTGTTGTTTGGTTTAGGTTCCCCTCTACCAAGAGATGCCGGCAGAGGAGCGCGAGACGACGAAAAGGACGTGAGCTTCGTTCAGCGGGAAGTTCCTGAGATCCGTCTCGTATTATCACATCTGTATAGTATCATGATACTATCATTATCGAAACATTATAGTATCATTATAGTCTCATTGCAGTCTTGGCATGGTATCATTATAGTATCTTTTGAATATTCTCATTATCGTATCACTACAGTCGTAATTTTAGTATATCATTATAGAAATTTCCGGGGATGGCGAGCTTCAGGGTTCCAAAGCTTCATGATAACTGCTAGTACCATTAGTATCATGCCCGGAGACACTCCTTCAAAGGGAGCGCCACAAGAAAACTCAACTTCCTAAGCCTCTCAATCTCGAACCCCTCCTTCAAAGGGAAAGCCATAAGAAAACTTAACTTCCTAAACCTCTCAATCTCGAACCCGTTCAACCTTGAGGACTTGACCCTACACTCTTAGTCGCAGAAGTTAGAAGTGTTCCCCGCGGCAAGGTGCCTGGACATGTTCGACAGCCCTGTGTCCCCGAGGAAGTACAGCAAGATCATGCCACCTCGGGTGCTTGGGGGTTTGGGAATTCAGGCAAGGCTGCAGGGAGGCACAGGGTGCAAGGACAAATTTATGTTTATGTAAGGGATCAAGCCAGGTGGATGTCCCGTAACGAGGCTCGTGTTGCTCTGTCTTCGTTCATGGAGCAGCTGGGGCCCCAAAATTACTCTACAGGAACCCATGCTAGAGCCACAGAATATACTACATACCACATGTCTAGGCCCACGGACCGAAAGCAACACGACAGCTTCGGCGAGGAAGTATGACCGTGCCGAGTTTGCAAACCTCTGAGTTTGGAGGTCCGTGTAACAGGGGCCCTTAAAAATACGAAGATGGTTTTGGGGGATATCATAATAACATGAATATAGAGAGACAATAGGGGGAATAGTACTACTAGATTTTCTGACCGGTATCAGCTGAGCCTTGCAAACACAGTGAAGCCCTGAACCCTAAACCTTAGATGCCACGGAAAGAGCTGAAGGCACATGACGCCTTCAACCCGTCGAGACCCTCAAGCAGGCAAGACACGTCCTAAACGCGGAACTCAGGCCAGAGGCAGGCAACGAGCTTGGCGAGTTTAGGACGCGACTTGGGGAGAAGCAGTTCAAGCGTTCCGGGCCTATGTGGTGGCAATCTTGTTCCTCCACCTTGGACCGCTGAGAGTCCAAAGCCCTAAACGTGACTCGAGCTCTACTCTGTCCGAGAAGATAAGTGCGAGACCTAGCCGATTGATCATGATAAGTCCGAAACTGTATCACAGATATCCCAATTGAAACATCAATAGGGTTTGTGGGTATACTACAAATACTCTAACGAGGAATCCTGCCATTTTAGGCACGCCATCATGAACTGTGTTCCCCAGTCCCTGAACACAAAGCCAGAACAAGTTGCACATGAAGGCGTAGACCTTAATGGCCCGGAAGTGTCTCCTTGCAATCGGTTTAAGGTTGACCCGTGACCCAAAAGTCCTAAATTTTCCCGGGTCATACGGAATCTCATTTCCCTAGAAACCAGGTTGCATTGAGAGTGGCTTTCGGCTGCCGTGCGCTAGTTGTGCCAGTGTGCTTTGGAGCTCCCAGGGCTCTGAGGCTTAGGTTCCCGAAGCCTGGGCTCCCCTTTCTCTTCACCTTCCAGTGGCTGATTAGACCCAGAACCCCATAAAACCACAGAAGCGAGAAGAGTGACGGCCTCAGATTGAACAGATAAAGGTGAAAAACATGCGTCGAAACGAGATCGGGCCTAAGATGAGGAGCTTTGAGACACTGGTTTTAATTACATCCGTACAGTAGTCAGTTACCGATCTCGCTTGACGTGTGCCTAAGGGCTGCTGTGTCATTGTGTCCTGCTGTTTGGTTGCATATCTCTGCCTGCAAAACCTCTAGCACCGAAAACATTGTGGAGGGTCCTTGTATTTTAAGGGTTTTGGGGCAGATCATAACATAGTCATGTAGAGGTAGCTACTCAGCCTCATGGCGCTCCATTCGCAGTGTGCTTCTGCCAGCCTCCGTCGGTACTTGCCCATCAACATGGACGCGACGGCAGCTGCAATCATGTTGTCGACAATCTCAGCAGCTAAAGAGGCTTAATCCACACCAAAATATCCTAAAGTAGGTCTAATTTATACAGTTGACTCCAAAGCTTGGGATTTGGGTACTATTTATTACTCTTTTGTCTGCTTGGATTCTCTGGGTAAGGTTAGGCCGGAGGTCCACCTCAACTCCGAGCAACTAGCAGTATGGAGGCTACAATATTTTCACAGGCTAGATCAGAGATCTGGGCTTCATCATCGATGGGTGCTTCTCACAACTTCGGGGCCATTAAAGGAGCTCAGTTTGTTCGTTTCCTCTTGTATTGTTTCAAGTTGTTACTACTGTTGCTATCATTTTTTACTATTGTCACAGTATCACTATCGCTATTCTCACATGCATATTATGGAGAATCCCAACAGGCAAGTTCAGGCTTTTGGGCTAAGAATGTGCGTGGGAGTTGTGGAACCAGGGGCCGGCATGTAGCCTCTCAAGCAAGTACTGCCAGCATTCCAAAAACCCAGAAGCAGAGTTGCTCACGCTGATGTTGAATATTTTTAGTGTCCTCGCCAACAGAAAAACGAAAAGGACTGCGGTACTCTGAAAAGCTCCTGAAAGTGCTTAATCCCACATCTGCCGCCGAAGCTCGGATAAAACTAGACAGTCGCAGATTGTCAGGTTCTTTAATGCCACGAAGGACATGACCTCGGCACTGTGTGGCAAGTGGCCTTCCGGCACGAGATGATTGAAACGGCTTAGGGTTTAGATTGAAAAGAGAGGGCTTCGGGTCGGGCTCATCAGGGCATTTTGAGGGCTCACGACTTGATGGAAAGAGCGTAGGTCACCCCACTGTACCACAATCTCAGGTATATACCGGGAATGCGCCTCATAACCCCATGAGTCTCTCACTAAACCTGTCCTCAACTCAACAACGTCTTGAGCTACAAGAAAGACCGGGAAGGATGCAGCCTTCGTTTGAAGGGCCTTGGCAAACGATTGAAATCCAAGAAGCTCCAGACAACCCGCCGCAAAAGCCCAAAATTGGCAAGTCCTCGTGGGAAGTTGAATCTGGGACTAAGTGTTTCTTTTGGCCTGGCTTTGGGGTAGGCTTCGGCTGTGTGCAACATATGGGTCCTTCAAGTATGAGTTTTTCAAAAACATAAACGAGTGTAACTGTAGTAGACTTCAGTGAAATGCTGCAAGGGCTACAGGGTCTGACCGAGACAGGCTTGCGAAGCCTCAGGCCGCAAAGCTCGAAACCCCTAAGACCCTCTTCTGCTTCAACGAACTACAGACGAAGCAGAATGCTAGAGCTTGAAAGGAAGGTAAATCAAGCATCTGCGAGCCTAAATGTTAGCTTGAAAGGAGACCCCGACTGTCAATAACCCCCAGTTCAGGTCGTTTCATCCTCAGCAAGCTCCTTGAACAAAGCAACTATCTGTAAACTTGCCTTTTGAAACTACTATTTAAATTAAAGAAGATTGAATATAATGGCATAGCGACTCAGACCCAGTTCTTTGACCTCCAAGACCCAGCCCTCGAGAGCCCTTCTTCCTTCACGGGCGAGAAGGGGTTCCGACCAGCCTGGCCAAACTGGCTGTCATGATTCGCAGTATCGAGGTATTGGGGTTAAGGGTTTGGGGAAGTGCTAGAGGGGAGTCATATCTTATGTGCAAGCCGCGACTAGACGTCATGTCAGCTGCGCAAGAAAGCAAGCTGTCGGCCCTGCTTTGTAGCGAACAGCCCAGCATCGTATCAAAGAACACGCTTCAGAGCACCATCCCAACTCCCGAACACAGGGACCCGACCTCCATCCAAAATCCCGTAAAAGCCTGAAATAATAACCGACATTTACCACGCAGATGATCAGGGTTCCTATGACTTTTTCGTCACCGCTCTGGTCCAGCCTGTCTTTCGATGAAGAGTCGCGACACGACGGAAGTCAGGACGAGCCAAGGCCATATCATCATGGCATAGATGTAGACCTCATCTGAATTGGATTGTATGGCGAAGGTCTTAGGGTTAGGTGCTCCAAGAAAGCCCGGTCGCGACTAACCCCCAAAATCGCGTACAAACATTGTTACAAAGTTTCGGTTTCCGAACAAACATTGTTACAAAGTTTCGGTTTTGGAAAACATTGTTACAAACATTCTTTAAATGTTTCGGCAATTGTTTGAAATATTCTTTAAATGTTTCGGGAATTGTTTGAAATATTCTTTAAATGTTTCGACAATTGTTTGAAATATTCTTCAAATGTTGCACGAATGGTTTGCACCGATTTGAACCACTTCTGTTGGGGTTTCAACGGCTGCTCGAAATGTTGATTAACTTAAATAATGTATACTGATTTAGTAACAAGGAACTGCTTATGAGAGCATTGAGCTTACGCTATCGGGGCTGCTGACTGCATTTGCTGTTTGTTCTGGACTCTCACCGCCCATGTTTCAAACAATTTAAAGAATATTTCAAACAATTTAAAGAATATGTCCAACAATTTTCGAAACATTTAAAGAATATTTCAAACAATTTTCGAAACATTTAAACAATGTTTGAAACAATTAAACAATGTTTGCAGCAGCCCAAACAATGTACGAGGTGGAACTTTGGGGGGGTTTAGCACCGGGCTTCTTGGAGCACCCAATCTTAGGGTCTTAGGGTGAAGGATGGCAGACGATGTTGCCGGGTTTCGGGCTCTGCTTTCGGTGGCAACAGATCATGATCAGGGAAGGCCATAGTAGCTCCAGGAAAGGTAGAATATCATTATGCTGCGGCAAAGAGAAGGCAACGTAGAGAATCCCATCACGAATCTTTTCCCATGATCACAGGAGTGAGAGTCGTAGTGAAGTATCTTAGAACAATGTCCAGCATCCCTCTATCCTTCAAGACTCAAGACATATTCCACGATTTGAACGGGTAGTTTGCTCTCCCGGCCCCAAACCCCTGCAGTACCACCTGCACCGCACAGGATCTCTGCACGCAACTTCAGGCTTCAGGGCAACGTGCCCTGGAGAGCCCTTTTCAAGAAGGACTTGCGACATTCCTGAGGATCCTACTCACTCCAACACCAAAGTATGGGAGCTTTAGTAGCCAGACTAAGGTTCGGGGGTATATCATAGTGTAAGATACCGGAACTGTTGCAGAGCGACTCCCGACGCGACGCGGGCCCCGCCCTACTGCGATACCTATCCGCCTCCATCCTGGAAGATACTGGGGCGTAGGAATGCAGGGTGTTGACGGGTCGTGCAGAGTGCAGAGCTCCTCTCTCTCTTGAACAAACCGTTCGGAGTTGCGTTAGCATGCTAAACCTGACGTCTTGGTACGCCTGAGGCCGAGGGTTTCGGAACGAAAAAAGAGACAAGAAAAACCACACACTTAAAAATTTCCTCCCCCCCCCCCCCCCCCCCCCAACGCGGCCTGAAACACGTTGGCGGACGAGTTCGCCTCCGTCGAGGTCCCGGATCCTGTGAAAAGCTTTGGAGCTTATCGGAATTAACATGTTGGGGTGGGGTTTCAGGGGTTCGGCCTTCTTTTGTTACTTCTGAGCTTCTGTGGTTCAGGATTCGGGTTAAGAATACTTCGGACTGTCGGGTTTCAATCGCTGAGATCTGGGGTTTGGGGCTTCAGGTTTTACGGTTAGGCTTACAGTTTTATTCATCTGTCTATGAGTCTATAACTCACCGTCGAACTCCCATTATTATCTTTCAGCTGCAAGGAGGCTACAGTGGGGTCTAGAGTTAGGACCAACGGTCCAGTGTCTAGACGTTGTGTTTCGGGTCTTAAACAAAAACGAGCTCAGCTGATAAGAACCTTCGTTTCAACACGAATCTGAAAATAACGAGAGGCCCTACACTCTTGATGCCCACGGGCCGGAAATCTCTGAAACCGTCTCGACTTTTCAACCGAAACCAAGCTGGGAAGTTGCCAAAATGTGAAGCCAAAGTGGACCCCAGTTTAGGAAGGCATGAAGTGACACCTTTGACAAGGAGTCCGCGCAATCGGTCGGCCTAGAATGAGAAGCATCACCAGCGTCAGCACGAGGGCCACGTTAGAAATCAGCGATGCCTTTGTGTTATCTTAACAGGATTGCACTAGCCTCACTAGCCGCCTCTGCTCGCGTCTTGGACAATGAAACCGCTAAGACGTGTAGAACACGACATCTGCCGCTACTATGGTGTGCTGCAGAAGGCTTGGTGTAAGGCTCTCGAATACTCCGTTAGAAATTTGATGACCGCGCAAACCAAGTACTTAATAACTGGTTCCCAAGTCGTGCCTCAGAAAAGATTCGCTTTGCATACTGGATGTACTGGTCAGTGCCGCGAGGGCTACGGCTGCAGGAACCAACCACCGATGCAACAAAGGATCCTGTGGGATGTGTTTGATGGGATAAAACTGAAGACGAATAACAGAGTTGAAAGCACTTTATGAAAAATCTTGTAGGTGTAGATATTGCAGACACTCAGCTGTAAACCATGCATGCACCATGATTGTAGCACTAGAATGCACTAGATATCACAGACCCTAAGCTGCAAAACATTGCAGCTGCAACACTATACCATACCTGTAGCACAAAATAACTGCCGTCGCTAAGGATATTATGTCATATAATATGTATAAAGGAAACCCTCGTAAGGAACCTGTTACCCTAAAGTGGTAGGGTCTTGGGCCTTGGGGCTACAGGATGCTACAGGTAAACACACCCACCTTCTTACCGAACCAGACAAGCCTGGCCCCGGAAAGAGTCGCAGGCCGAAGCTGAGGGGGTAGATTATACTATGATTACAGTAAGAAGCCCTTAAAATAGTATACGTAATTATTAAGGCCTTTAGGGCTTGCGGATTTTGGGGCACAGGGCTTCAGGGTTTTATGAAGCTCATGCTTCGGAAGAAACGGGTGCTTCCAGTTTGAGGGTCTTGCGACCCTTGCCCCGAAGCTCTGAACCCTCCTGTCAGCTCGTCTTGCTCGATATGCGCCGAAGAAAGCGATGAAGCTCTGAAACCCTGATTAAACCTTAAACCCAGCAGTCCTGCCTTGGTTGCTTGCAATGGGTTCTAGTCATTGCGGGTGCTCCTTTCTCAAACTCCTGTTGCAGCTGTGTCGCCATGGGTGGGCATGGGATGTAGATCCACAGCTTGTAGACCTGATATTCTGAGAAGAAGGCCGGTTGCAGCAGCATGGTTTCGGGTTTGATTGCTCGGGAGCCACGGTTTCATTCAGATGCCAACTGCTTCTAGGAAGTGTGCGTGTTTGGGCGAGAAATCCGAGGGCTCCCAAAGCCCTCTGATATTCAGTTCGTGTATGCTCTGGTGCACAACAACCTGGTGTCATCAGGGCACTGAAGGTTGGAACTTTGGAGGCCAACAGCCAAACCAATACCCAACCAGAAAGCCCAAACCCGAGGCCGATACAAGACTACACCATCAATCCAAAAGTCCTAATGCTATCCTCCAGAAAAGCATTCTATGCCGATTCTCTACTATCAAAGCCTTAGCACTCTTACTTCGTGCTGACTTATGACTTATGACATACAGTCTCTACTATCAAAGCCTTAGCACTCTTAATTCGTACTGACCTATGACATACAGCAATGTTATGGGGACTTGACGGAGATACTAGTTCTAGTCATTCATGCCTCCAGGTTATCCGGCCTTCGCACTTCTTCTCTGTTCGCGGAGGGTGTTAAGATAAAAGGTGGAATGGACAAGAAGTGACCCTAACCTGTTTTTGCAGGGTTCAGGGTTCAAGCCGGGTGTGTAAGGACGTACGAGGGTGTTGAAAAGTCGAAGGGGTCCAAGGACCGATCGAAGTACCCTCATCCTAAGGACAAAGGTGAGGCATCCCCATCTCTACGAACTCGGCCTCGGTTTCAACAAACCCCCCAAAAGACTGTTTATAACTAGTTGGGGTTCTATGTTTAACCGAGTAAGGGGAGGACGCATGTAAGAAACCTCATACAGTCCATGTCACCGTGGGGAACTGGCTGACTGAGATCTCACTGCAATCACCTCAAATCCCAAACCCATATGTGTGTCAGCCATACAACACGCTGCTAGCCTTTATGTATGAAAAACGACCAGAATGCACTCAGACGCATAAATCCCTGAACGCTCTGATGGAGACCCCCGGTCCAGCTTGTGCTGCAACCGAATATAGGGCCCGATTGGAAGATAGGGTGTGGTAGTGTAGTATAATGACTAGAAGACAGGATAAATGAAATCGAGTATAGGTATGTCAGGACTGCAAAATGGAAGTTGCTACTGCTTTATCAGGGCTCTAAATTATGCTGGCGAGTTGCAACTCGGAGAAAGGGGAGGAAGCTGCCCAGCGAGAGGAGCAACAAGAGGTTGTTCACATAGTAGTACGACTGCAGGCCTCTGCCCATGACACTATGTCGGGTTTAGGGGCTTAGGGTTTAGGGTCTGGGGGCCCTGCAGAGGCCTGAATACTCTTTGTTGGGCTTTTTGATTTAACCGTCTGACTCTTCCAGGCCCCTACCTTGTGTCATTCTGGAGTTTTGCATTTCAAGACTTGGGAATCTATGAAAGTGGTGCTTGCGGCTTCTAATCTCGAGCTTCGGGCTGAGCAATGGTCGAGCTCTTGGTTCTCAGAAGGTTTAAAGCCCTAAACTTAAATTGCCCCGAAATCCTGAACGCTAAGTTTAATTAGTCTTTGGGCTCTTTCAAGATAGGCTCTTGAAACGCAAGACTCTCGTGTTCAGGGCTATGAGTTCGCTAGGCATGGTTCTACGACCCTAATTAGTCAGGACACCGGGCTTGGAATCCCGAACATCCTAAACCTCAGCCACGGCATATCTCCCAACTCTAAGCCCAACGGCATCAGATCTTCGATGTCGCTTCAGTGTGTCTTTGTTTTCTTTGTGGGTCTGCGTTTCAGGAGTAAAGCTTGGGTAGTCTGTTGGCCGTTGCGCGAAAAATCTTTGGTCCGATGCTATCTCTGTACCCAAGCGCAACCCGAAGCGAATAAATGATTCAGGACGTAGCTGGCCCAGACGGGGTTACAACAGCAAATTACGAATACCCTTCTTCCGAAACGCAGGTGCTGTAACTAGTTGCAGAATTCCCAGTTCCGGAAAGGTTGAGCCCTTCAATCATGGTAGGGACATACAAACCGCAGAAGGTTCGATGCTCAGCGGGAACGGATTTGCTCCCAAGCGACACTTCGCAATCAGGAGCTGAAACACTTCGCTGCCCAACACCTGCTTCGGTCGTGTTGTCTGTTGCTTGTGGCTTCTCTCCTCTTCCCGAGTTGTGGGTCAGCCAAAGGGTCCAAGTAGTCCAAAAGGGTCATATACTTCCCGTGCGGGTCTGGGTTACTGTCCTTTCGCTGACTCTAGCTGGAAGTCAGCCGAGCCCTTGTACTCGAGTTTTCGCGGCGATATCTTTGAAAGCAAAGGGGGGCGCACCTGGAGAACATAGACGAAGTACACGCGGTACCTCGGATGCAGGAAACGACAGCTTGACGGCAGTTGCCCGAGATCCTCACCCGTAACCTCTCAGTGAAAACCTATCCTTGCAACTCTAAACCTCTAACCTGTAATGAACACGGGCCTGAACCCTGATCCCCTGCCTAACCTCTGAATACTACAGAGGAATGTCAACAAAGTGGAGTCCTCTGAATCCTGCTTCGAAGCCCAAGATCCGGAAGAGTTGGTTTTAAGGGCTCAAACGATTCACGAAACAATTGTAGTTGGCCTTAAAAATCTTGAAGGTTGTCTCATTCCAGCTCCGTTTCTGCTCCGGCGTGGCTCCTTCCTACAGGATCTTATAACCAGCCTTATACCGAGGGTTTCTTCTGTTGACCTTGGGACTTTGTAATGAGAGCAGAATACCTCGTCAGGCATTGAGGTGGACTACTATAGAACTCAAGCGCAAAGGGAGCAAGCCTGAAGATCGCTAGGCTGTCGTCCGGGGGTAAATTGCGATCTGTGGGTCTTAGAGGCAAAGGATTTCCTGAAAGACGGAACTCCACAACAGAGTCGACACCCGAAAGACTGCCAACGACAGCTGGCATCTGCCCTGCCCGGCACCCCTGCGCTCCTCATTATCCGGAAGTCTGCAATCCGACAGCAGAAGACCGTCTGTAAAGAAGCTCCCAAAGCCGATTACCCGGGAGACTCTTTCCACGAAAGTCGTGCTTGCAGGGGCACTGATAAGAACTCAGCTGCGGCAGCAGAAGGATCTGCAAACACCTGCAATTGTTGGTGCGGCGAATACCACGATGAGGCTTAGGACCTACGATGTGAGTCGGACTTGTGTACGAGCTGAAGGTCTAACGCTGTTGGACTCAGGGCCTTGGGACCAAGATGCTCGTCTCATGTGAATTGTTGTATCTGCTGCAATGTTAATTCGTCTCTTCTGGTTCAGGGAAAAGTGTCTCCTCTTGCACGATCTACCAGTTACTAGGATGTTGTGTTTTTATGTCAGATTTGACGCTGAAGTTTGCTATGCCGCAGGGTTTGGGGCTACCAGCAGGCTTTGGCTCCAAAGCCCCAACAAGCCCCTACTGCAGGTCCCCTCTCGCTGCCGCCAGCCGGGGCACTTGGTGAGCAGAAGAAAGGCTTTGTTCACGCGCACGCCAAGGTTTAGACCTGGCAACGAGCTCAAGTTTCTGGCTTCTGTAGTAATCATAACATGTTGTAGTATACTTTAGTATACTTTAATCTGTTAGCATCTGTAGTATACCATACTATATCAGAATCGAAGTATCTATAAACATCATAGACATCATCGTACATTGATGCAGTATTATGCCATAATGTCTTATCGTACTCATACGAGTGCAAGGTCTGCTTGAGTGGGGGTTCCCTGGCTTCGTAGGCCTACGCAGATGCTCCTGTTCGTTAATGATGTCCGCTCTGGCCATTCAACGAACATCACATAGCGAAGTCGCACAACTCCAAGTATTTGAGCTGAACCACAGCGCGTGCACCAGCGACACCACCAAAAATGCCGGATAGGAGCTTGCCCAGCAAACCCAGTCCAAGCAACAAAGCGATGGCACAAGCAAAGCTACAGTTTCCAAGCTTTCTAGCCGAGATGGTTACGAATCCCATTGTAGACGATCATCAAAAACCTTAATGGACAAGGAGCAAGGTTAAGGAATACCCAAGCCACTTTAGTGACGAGAAGAATAGGTGTTGGGCACCGATGTCCGATCGTCATTTGGATTTGTCAGTTCTGCAACCGACCCCTTCACGCCAGGGCCCCGGCAGATGCGTATCAGCCTCTTCACCTGCGTTCAGCAAGTGCTCCCCATAGCTTGGAACTGACGAGGACTCTGGTTGTTTCAGCTACACCCGAGCTCTTGCTCGCGACTTGACAGGTTTCAATACTTCGTTCCTTCTTCATTTCCAGGATTTTGAAGTCCCGGGAGTCGGCTTCCGTACTTAGCTCGCGCGACCTGCGGTCCAGACTACTCGAGGTCCCAAGGCCCTCAACCCTGAACTGCACATCCATAAGCCGTGACGCCTGAGCCCTAAAAAGGTAAATCTCCTGATGCCATACACCCTGCCCTCTCTGAAATCCCGACAACCCTCAACCAAGCCCAACAATCTAAAACACCGAGTATCCCATCCTAAAACGCTCAAAACCCAATGCCTTATAACCTTGAAACCTCCCTGAAAATGGCAATAAAACCCAAGACACTCCCTCAACAATACCCAGAAGCCCGACGGACTAAAGCAGCTCAAAGTAAACAACAAAAACTCCCAACCCTAACACCCTGTCTGAGCCCTAAGACTACAGTTCCCGAAACCCTATGAACCCCCAAAGCAACAAACCAAAAAAGGCTATCGCCCAAAACACTCCCTCAAAAAAGAGCCTAACACCCTATTACCCTCTGAACCCCAAAACAACAAACCAAAAAAGGCTACAAAGGCTCAAAAAAGAGCCTAAACACCCTATTACCCTCTGAACCTCAAAAAAAAACAAGCCCAACAAAATACAAAAAAAAACAAGGGCTACCGAGGCTGGGACTCCGGAGTCAGCATCCTGGCCCTGCTTCGCTGGCTTCATGCCTCTTACCCAACGGAGGGGGGGGGATCCTTCGGGGTCTTTAGGGTTTTGGGGTTTAGGGTTTAGGGTCTTTAGGGTTTTGGGGTTTAGGGTTTAGGGTCTTTAGGGTTTTGGGGTTTAGGGTTTAGGGTCTTTAGGGTTTTGGGGTTTAGGGTTTAGGGTCTTTAGGGTTTTGAGGTTTAGGGGGCACGGTTTGGGGTTCGGGTTGAGGGCTGTGGCTTCAGCTTTGGGGATCAGGGTTTGGGCTTATAGGGCTTCGGATTCAGGGACTAGGCGTCCAAAGGTCGTCGCTCTAAGGAGTTTGGGTTTTTGGCTGGGGTATCAGAGGGCTTCGACGATTGATCTCAAATACGGGCTGTTCGAAGGCATGCATCGAAAATGGTGCGTGTCAGCCTGTTGCAACAGTGTTTAGAAGGGTCGACTCAGGTTGTGTAACGGGTTTCAACAACATTTCATCTAGTCTATGTGTGTCTAGTGTATATATATATATACACACATATATGTATATATGTTATATATAGACACTTATACTTATCTTGTTGTAAAGCTGATAACGACCTGTCCGACATGGGAGTTTGACTCTGCGGAGCTTTTGGAGATGCAAAGTAGCATCCCTTTGGGATTGTTGTATTGTGGCGGGTTTCTGATATTGTTTGGTGGGACTTTTGTAGATTTAGCGATACAGTTGAGGAAGTGTTGGGGGCTGCCTAGAGAAAACATACGGGGCTGGATTCTTTCGCGAGGTCTTATCCAGGTAGGCGACCACGAAAGCCTGGGCCTCCAAGGGAAAGCCTCCATTGGTTAGAATCTTGCCAGGATCACAGACCGATTCCTAAACCGCATCGCAGACCGGGCCTGGCTGTAAATTAAGAGGCCGAAGCCGCGCACTTCATTGCAAGCTACTTCCTGCACTTGTCTGGAATCCCGTAAGATTTCCCGAGAGCTTGGGATTCGAAAGATAACCTCGCGTGAGCGCTGAGGAATGAGTACGGTCGCCGGTCAAGCAAAATAACGTGTCTATGAGTCTATGCTATGCAGAGGATTCCAGAAGAATCGATGGCAAACAAAGAGAACCTCATGAACAAACTTTCATGACCTGTGGGAGCCACACGGACAAATGTGGCAGCGGCAGCGGTGCGTGTGGGGGAGGTCAGGCCTCCGAAGCAGAGTAGCCTTCTCAAGCCAAAAGCTCCAAACCCTAAACCCCTAATTAAATCCAAACCCAATGCCCCTGAAGCCCCAAACGCCCAAAACCCCAAACCCTTCGGTTTGCATTCGGGCTACGGGACTTTAAGCATGAGCCGTACCGCATCTTACCAAAGCTGCAAGCACCAGAAGTGTTGAGGGCTTTGTCTATTAGTGCACACTTAGGACTTCGGGTTGTGTGAGAGTGTTGCAGTTTAAGGCACACACAAATCCTAAACCCGAAGACCTTAAAGTCCTTTAAACCGTATAAGGGACTTGGAGGCTTATGGAGTCTTTAAGGGACGGAGCGGCTGCAGAGCAAAGTTGGCTTTCAGCGCATCACATTTAGCAGGTGAGAGAGAGGGTTTTTGTGGGTTGAACGTTTGTTTAGTTGAGGATTTGCATTTCGGCGGTATACAGGGGTGGAAGCTGCCAGAATGAAAGCCGTGTTTTTGCCTTCTTCTCCCAAAAGGAAGGGTCCTAAACCCGAGGCAGGACAGTGTCTTTCTTCAAATGAACAGGTCTGCACTTCAAACTGAAGAAATCGATCTGCAGAGCTCCGAAAACGCCGCAGCGTCTGCAAAGGCAGCGCTTCCAATCCATTTCTGGGCAGCTGGTGGCCTCGACAAATTTCTGAGAGAGATTGCTTTGGGGTTTTAATTCGTGGCAATGGCTCTCGGGTTCCAGGGCTTGGGGTTTCGGGTTTAGGGATGCTGAAGGTTTATTATGAGGTGTATATTATATATATATGTATATATATATATATATATACATCTAGATAGATATTCCCTGGGGTCTAACAGTCAACATGCCCAGCTGGTAGGGCTCTGGCCACTTTCGAAACCGCTCAGAGCAAAGCAACTGAACCTGAAGCCTGAAAACTGCCAGTTGCCCTCGAAGAGCCGGTTCAGACTCTCAGAAATCTTAGGTATAGTGCTTCAGGGTAAAAAGGGGGCTTGTCGGTTGATACCATAGAACTCATATAAGACATCCTCTTTGGGGACCTACCTCTAATTAGCCAGGCATGTAAATATATATATATATATATATATATATATATACATACATATATATAGGTATATATGTATATGCATGGAACTCAGGGGTCCTTCGGGGGCTCAGAGTCTTGGTTCTACGTGTTTTCATGTTCCTGGATGCACTGGTTTGGTTTAAGGTTAAGATTTAGGTCTAGCAGAAGAACAATAGAATTCTAACCCCATCCCTTCATGCAGGCTGATGTGTATGTTGATCTGGGGCCACAGCTGCATAAGCCTTGCAAGACTAGAGTTTACGAGCTGCAGCCGAACCAGCCAGGAACCTATGTGCAAGCCCACTCCAGCTTGAACCCTAGACCCTAAACCCCGAAACCTTGAACTCCTATACCCTTTCGCACCAAAGCTCAAAAACCTGAAATTCGCCAACTCCTGCCAGCACCAGGACTGTGAACGATAATGCAGGGCTCTGAACGAAAAGAAAACATCTTACCAGACTCTCCCTGCATATCCATTCCATAATATACTCCCCCAACTCGTGAGCTCTAAGTTTTACAGCGCCTATATTGCTTTTGAATACATCAACGTACAGACAGGCCACTGCTGAAAGGGGATACCACTGATTTTTCAGACCTCTACAGCATGTGTAAAAAAAAGCTCCCAGCATGCAAGATGTTGCCAGGGCTTCTGGCTTTGTAGGATTGAAGGTTGTAGGTTCAGGGTTCAGGGTTTAGGGTTTAGGGTTTAGGGTTCAGGCTTAAGGGAATTGTCTTACAGTATGGTTTCCAATGCCATTGTATGCACAAGGTACTGTTATGTTGCTGCTGCGACACCATGATGATTGAATACTTCTATCTCGATTGCCACGGTCGTTCCGGTTCTTCTGTCGCTGTCATGAAAAGCCGGCGCTTCTGTATACTCCACGTCCCTTAGAAGAAAACCAAGGCATTTGGCAAACACCATAGAGCATCCCCATAGCCCACAAAAACAAAAATAACTCAAGCACGTCCAATAATTGCATACAAGCTTACATGAATCCTACATTTACCTGTTAAGTCTTGTACTGTTGCATAAACAACTACCAGCGAGAATGGCAAACCGAGATGCGCAGCCCCATGGCTACCATCGTTAGCACAGGCCAGTCGGTGGCCTGGTCAAGTGAGCCCAGACCGTTCAAATAAGACTTCCCATCAGGTTCCCCATAAAGTTCCCACAGGAGTTCTTACCAGGTGCTGTTAAGGGTTCTTTTTAAGATCCTTCATAATCCGAAACTCAAACACAGCTTCTTTTTTTTTGGGGGGGGGGGGGGCTCAGATTGTGCGAACAGATTTTCCGGGTGTGAGGCGGTTGGTTCGGACAACCTACACGGGTTTTCAGCCGCCGCATGGCTGGGTGACCAGGGAACTTGGTAGGGATGTCATGTACACCCCTGATCACTAAACCTCCTTGTCTTCATGAAGATTGCAATCGGGATCCCAATATTAAGGCCCGTAAGAAACGATGATTCAGTAATCATCCCTAAACAGAAACCCTCGTTCTGCATGGACGAAAACATCTCCCTGGACACTCCGGGAAAGATCTTCATGTCGGAGCTCTCAATCCTGGCAAGTACAGTCCACCCACCACGGCATCCTCCAACCCTAAACCCCAAACCACAAACTCTTAACCCCAAAACCTAAACCCCGAAAACTACAGCAACCACGCGGAAGTCCGAACATCTGCATCCCTGAGCCCAGACTGGCAAAATGTTTGACATGCTTGCAGGCCATAATACAGCGGCCTTAATGTTTCGACTAGGGTCGGAGGACTACCATATAGTGTGACTTTAACCAGGAACCGTAAAGGACGGCACCGGTCATTGTTCCAACCTCGTTGATACCTTTTGAAAAAAGACGCCTGCTAAGTTGAGGGTGTTACACGCTGACTACCCGCAACTTCATGGAAACTTTAAGCCCATTAAACCCCTGAGCTTTCAGTGTTCTATAGAAAAATCCGTTCGCGTTTGTAAACTTCCATTCAAAATCGAAACAGTATATTCCCAAATCGCACTCTAATAGACTAAGTCGCTACCGTAGAAACCCTGACACCCATACTTGACATGTACTAAATCCCTATGAACACCTTCAAAAACCCTAAAAGAGCCTTTAAACCTTTCAGGTTACACCCTATATAATCCCTAACCCCCAAAACAAAAGGAAGAGAACCACCGAGCCTCCTCTGCTGCTCTGGCCAAGGACTTGAGGAGAAGGCGCTCTGAAGCAGTGCGGCCTTGATAAAGGAGCTTCGATGGAGGTGCTTTCCGAGTTTAGGGCTCCAGGCTTAGGGGTGGGGGGGGGTCCCTACTTTCAAGGCGCTGATGCATCCTTCCCCAAGGGCACAAGATATTCGCCCTTTAGGGTCTGAAATCTGTGGGCGGCTTTGTCTAAGGTCCGAGGAAACGACTGACATTCCCACCCTTTTTCCGGAAAAGAAGAGCATGCACAACAACCCTAGTCCTACATCGTAAGCCCTCGCTACGCGCTTAGTCCTACATCCCAAACCCAAAGTGTGTCGAGAAACTGCCCGGCTCATCTTCAGCTTTCGAGAGAAGAAGGAGGCCAGCTAGAGACATCCTCGCTGCTTCAGGGTTGACACTGAAGCTTCGGAATTGAGGTTCGGGATTCAAGGTTTAAGGCTTTTTCGGGTGTAGGTTTATGAAGTTAGGATCTGAGACCAGGGTTTTTTAGGCTTAAGTTTGGAGCGTGGGGTTTTAGGAGTTAGGGTAGCGTTGTGAAGCGCGTTGAAGGCGTGGTTGAAGGCCTCTGACTCTTGCTGTTCTGGCACCCGGACCAAGAGCCCTCATAGAACCCCATGATATAGGGGCCTTAAGAATTAGAATAGGGTTTTCGGGCCCAATTGTACTATACTTACAAAAAGGCACCCCCAAAATAGTCTCGGTAGTTATTTAAGCCTCCATATTAGATTCCATCAAGGGGCCCTTAAAGGAACACGGAACTATTCAAGACGGTGGCTTCTGGGCAACTCACTGATCTTTGGGGTTTAGGGTTTAGGAGTTTAGGGTTTAGAGTTTAGGGTTTAGGGTTTAGGGTTTAGAGTTTAGGGTTTAGGGTTTAGGGATCTAAACTTGAACCAAACTGCATTTGCCTTGAGAACAGTATCGGCAGGGTCCACAACGGAACGTACTCCTTATAGAAAAAATCCTTATAGAAGGAGGAGCCCCTCCCATGAACCAGCTCGCAAAGAGGAGATTTCTCTATTCGAGCTCGACCGTGCCCGAAACCCTAAAATCCTGAGCCAACCAACCAACCAAGCTAATCGCAAACCCGCATATCTTGAACCTTAAACCCCACAAACTCCGCATCCTAAACCCTAATGCCAAAGAATATAATCTGAAGCCCTATAGACCCTAAACTCAAAAACTTCATCTGAAGCCCGAAGCCTGCAAAGCCTTGACCCCTTTTGGCGCGGGAACACTTGTTCCTTCAACAGGCAGGCTCAACACACGACAGGGTATGTCGAGTCCAACGGTACCAACTGCATCTATACATATATCTACACATAAGTAAATGAATACGTATATATATATATATATACACACACAGTTACACACATGCATACACGCATGTATGCATGCACGCATACATACATATACACTAGGTTCATGGGGTTGCCATATATATGTATATATATAAGAAGTTACTACATGCAGACATACATGCATACATAAATTCATGCGTGCATACCTACATACATACATGCTTGCATACATTACATTGCATTACATTACATGATTACATTGCATCCATCCAGCCATCCTTCCATCAATCCATCCATCCATCCGTACATACACAATATACATGCGTGTGCATGTGTACATTTTGTATATGTGTGCACATGTGCACAAACACACGAGTACATGTAGAAACCATTATAGTGCAGTGCTTCCACTGCATGAGCAAGACTCTCGGCCGTCTCAGGGACGACATTTTCGTCCTGAGCAGCTTGCAATTTTCAACGCAGAGGCTCCAATCATTTGAAATTGCAGATTTCGGATTCGGTGGTGTGGGTTTGATGTAGGCGCCTCAATTAAACTAGGGTTTGGGGTTATGGCAGAGTAGTCTTCCCTTGGGATATTGCAGGTTCAGGATTCAAGATTTAGGGTTCTTCGGTTTACGGTAGCTGCCAGAGGGTTGGAACGTCGAGAACTGGGGGGGGGGGGGCCTCGGTAAATGGAGTAGGGTTTTTATTTCTGTGTGTACATACAGGAGAACTAAACGGGCCAAACAACTGTGCTACATATTCCGACCCCTCTAGTAGCTCTTATGTTTGCATCGAGAAGAGCCCGGCGCAAACTAGCTTGACAAAACTTGAAATTTGCGACTGTCTGGAGCTCATGGTAGGGCTTTGGATGTAGGGTTTGGGATTAGAGGTTCAGGTCTGAGAATAAACTTAAGGTTTTGGGATTAAGGTTCTGGATATCGAGGTGTAGAGTGCAGAATCTCAGGTCTGGGGGTGATGCAAGTTGGGCGTTGGAGCAATTAGGGTGGAAGGCTGAGGGTGCTCAGGGTTTCAACAATAAAGTTGGAACATAGATCTATAAGATCTGAAGGTTAAGAAACTGACTGCTTCGCGCTGAAGATACCGAGTCGGCCTTCGTAGGACTAACTGGGAAGGTGGAAAGCAACCTCATCATTGTCTGAAGCCATACTGAAGCATCCACAATTCGCAAACCGGACAGTGCCACCTCCGGTCACCAAATCATTGCATTCTCCTGCAGTGCCAAGTCTGAACATAAAGTCCCGCCCGCCTGGTGTAGAGCCTACGTTTACATTCAGCAGAGCCTCGAGATCCCAGCACAGACATCTGCTCAGAAGGTCTTTCATTGGTGGCGTCTGACAGCTGCTAGAGGCAGCCAAGGAGGGCAGCAGAAGCGCTTTCTGCCAGCCCTTCCTGAGAAAGAGAGGGGCTAAGGTGTCGAGAGTTTGAAGAGGACAATAGAGTTCATGAGTCCATGAGCACTATAGTCGCTGCAAGCCCAGTGGTTGTCGAAGTTGTCGTCATGGTTGTCCATGCTACCGTAGTCCGTGATATATCGGTTGTGGTGGTGGCTGCTGTTGATGCTGACGGTGGTGTGGGTGTTACGACAAGGAGCAAGGGCAGCAAGGAATGACGAAGAAAAAGTAGCAGCCGTCGTCGTCGTCGTCGTCATCCTCGTCGCCGTCATCGTCATCGTCGTCTTTTCGTTGGCTTTTGCTGCACCATTAGCGCTACGCGGCAGCTGCATGAGCCGGACGACTGCTTCTTGAAGATCTGCTGCGCAGTTCCCCCGCAAACAAAACACACATCTTGCCTAGAAGTAACCCAGGACCCCATAAACCCCTAGAGGGCCTTTGCGAATGACTTCGGCCGGGGTGCAAGTCATCCATCAGTCCCACCGTCGCCAGAGCCCCCGCTAGTGCACTCGATGAGGACAGGTCGAAATTCCTTCAAGCGTTTCTGAAAATGCAAAAAGGCCGTACTCGAACCAAAGTTAGACTAGGCCTTGTGGTATATCATCACATAGACCATAGGCGGATACTGATATTTTCAGGGAGCGCGATTACTAGGAAATGGGGCCACTATAGGGTGTTAGTTTGAGACGGAGATGTCACAAGGCAGTCATCGGTAGCATGCCTGTCTCAAAGGTTCGGTGGCGTTGGCCCACTGAACAAGCAAAGCGAAACTAAGCCCGACCCTTTTTTGCGCCCTGGCGGCGCAGCAGCAAAGCTTCGCAACAGCCGCAGGGCAGCCCCAGGAGATAGTTGGAAGTCTGGTTCCTTCGTACCTTGGTCGTTGATGGGAACGTACCACAGTTGAAACAGGAGGCTTTGAAGATGAGTCCTTGCGAATCCCACATCCAAGACCACAAGCTCGAATCATCTACAGACCCTGCGCCCTACAATATACCTTAAACTTTGTCTCAACTTAGGCACTGAGCAGCAAGCGCCGCGCGCCTGGATGCCCTGTGGCCGAGACCACACGGTTGAGGAGGAAGGCATGGTGCAGCCAACTGCGCCTTGGAAGAACTCTGCCCTTATCGTTTAGGGTTTAGGGTTTAGATTCCAGGGCCCCTGATGAATATCCACCTGTCTGCAAAAAGCCTTCATCCTTCCAGATCCCTATTTTGTTGAGGGAGAGCAGTTTATGAATCAGGGATCTACATTACCCAGCTCATAGACAGTAACCATATAGCTGTTTGGAGCCTGAGGCCTGCAGAGCTGTAAGAACGATGTAGCTAAGGAGAGAGGTGACGACAAGGTGTGTAGATTGAAAGAGACATAGATACAGTAGATAATATAGACACAAAGCATGCCCGCTTTGCGTGGCCTTCCAATGTATATGGCTGCCCCTCGTTTCAACACACCTGTCAGAGCATCGCCATGATCGCATCTGCAGGTATGCTCTCCAGCGCCATCCAGTGCCAGAGGAGGGCTTTGCCCGATGTGATGCTTTTTGGAGACATGTTGAAGCACTTTCGCTGAGACTGCCGGTGTATGCGGAACGCGGGCATTTAATATGTTCCGTTGATTTGGTCTGACGGGGTGGCACAGAAAAGTGTCGCGACGAAGCACAGCGTTGTAGCTTCGTCTTACTGTAACCACCCGGCTGGACCGAATAGCATTGGGAGCGACGGCAAAAATTCGCAATGAATCATGGGTCCCTGAGGTATGAAAACAGCGGAGCCGCTCCTGGTAGCTTGATTGCGGAGTAGACTCGAAGAGTTCAGCATGCTTCCACCACTGCAGCCCAAGGTGCTGTCCTTCTGTGGTGCCGGTCGACCATGAATTGATGTCTAAGCGACAGGCCGCTGATGCCTGAAGTGCAGCATTATTGGAGACGTACAGAGGACTGAGGATAAACAACGGGTTTCACAGGTGACTTCATGATTGGACTAGTCTGTTGGGGCATCTTGCGATGTAGCTGTGCTATTTGCGGACTGTTAGTTATTAGTTGGGGGGATTCAAGCACAACTTTCGGATACTGCTTCAAATCAGGTCAGTTCACTGGGGGGCCGGGGCTCGTATTCAGCTGCCGGCACAGGAACCACTGCCTTTAGTCTCCCTTGTAGCTGCGGCTCCTGTTACGAGTACCTGCATTCCGATGATGGAATGCAAAACCAAATATGTGGCTCACCATGAAGAGTATGGGTTCACTGGGTTCACCCTAAACCCGAAATAACAAGTCCAGAACATTGAATTCTGCACTCGACTGAACTCGATAAAACCGGCGGAGGACTAAATGCACCGTCACCCCCCCCCTCCCAAACTGAGGAGCCTGGGTGTTGTGCCATGCGTCAGACAAAGGCGACTCGAAACAGAAGCTATACTGCTTTGAGGCTTGGGGCTTACGGCTTAGCATAGGGTTTAGGGTTTGGGCCTTGAAACTCAGACTCTTGCCTAGTGCACACCAGTCCCAGTCTCAACGTCGGAACTCCCAGCCTAAACTCCAAAACCCTAAACCAACCAGCATTCACCCGACCCCTCATCGCAGCTGGGCTGCGACGTGTGCAAGAATAGCTTGGCCTGGTACTCAAGCCAAATTATCTGAGGGAAACTTCTCGGGCTTACAGGACTTATACGGGCTAGTGAGCAGACCATGTCTTCTGAAGGAAGATGACCGGCGGACTTAGGCTTTGATTGGAAGTCAGGTCTTGGCTTTCTTTGTATCATCACCAAAATAACAGGCCCCCTAACCTCTAAACTTTCTACCCTAAGGCCCCAAAGTAGTTCCTTTGTGGGGCTCATATACAGAATCCTATAAGGTAATCCCAAAAAGGAACTACTATGGGGCCTCTGGGTAAGCAGCGTCAAGAGAAAGATCGGAAGCTTGCGTGAGACTGCGACGGTTGCATCCGGGGCCCTCGCCTCCTGGGAGGCTCAAGCTCATACCGATGGGCCCCATAGTAGTCTAGGGGTCCTTTAAAGGGTACTATAAGGGCTCCTTCAAGGGATCTGTAGGATTTAAGGTTACTCACAGGCCCCATAGTAGTTCCCTTTGGGATTCCCTTTTTGGGTTCTACATAAGAACCCCGAAAAGGAACTACTCTGGAGCCTTTGGGTATAGAAACTGGGAAAAGTTTATCTACTGGGTCCTCCTTGCGTTTAGTGGTCTCTCTCGCCATTGGGAGTCGAGGGGTTGTGTAAGTGGTTTTTTGTAAAGCAGGTATGATAGGGACGTTGAGGGGTAAACGAAGGGTATCACTTCGGCATAGTCACAGACGGTTGAGCATCGCATTTCCGGGGGAGCCGACAAGAAGAGTCGGTAGTTGGGGGCAAGATCTACTAGGCAGCGGGAAAACACCGGAAAGCCTCAAACTACCTCTCCAGCACATCAGCCAAGCTGCGCCACTCCTGAGACATCGGGGCGCCTTCGGCAGCCGCCTCGGGAATGCAGGTGCTTGCAAACATCCCTTGATGTTCTGACCCAAAGGAAAGACAGAAACACACTAAAGTAATTAACTATGTTCAAGGCTACGGCCAGGCGAGGTGTTCGACCAAGCATATGAGAGATGCCACTAGATTTGCTCTGAACTCCATTGCAACGGCTCTGGACTGGCTACCTTCGAACTCCATTGTGACGGTTCTGGATTTTCTGTGGCATCATAGTGCCGCCCTTCGCCATCAAACGCTAAACCCCAAAAGCCTAAACCCTGCCACCCTCAAGCCCTAAAGCCTCCTGAGTGCATACCCTGAGCCCCACTGGATACCCCCTAAACGCGATCGTCTGTCTCAAACCACACCGAGTGCCTGGAGTGATCGCGCCAGGGAGAGGGCGTTCTGCCGGTCTAGCTCAGAAGTCAATTCCATACCTGCACGTCAACAGCGATCTTTTCGGTGAGCTGCTTAGGGTTCATGCAGGGTATGTACAGCTCACCACGTAGAGGGTTTCGGGTTCGGGGGTCTAGGCTTGAGGGTTTGAGGCACAGCTTAGGGTTAACTAGCCCTGGCAGCCCAGTTTCAACTTTGCAGGCCAGTGGGCTCCAGCAGTTTTAGGGAGCGTTGTTTAAGGCGGTTGCGCAAAGGAGGCACATGGCATGAGCTTTTGAAATTTGGGTTGAAACCATGCAGGCTACCCAAAGGCTCCATAGTAGTTCCTTTTTGGGGTTCATATTTAGAATCCTATCAGGTAATCCCAAAAAGGAGCTACGATGGAGCCCATGAGTAATTTCATAAGCCCTAAATCCTACAGATCCCTTGAAGGAGCCCTTATAGTACCCTTTAAAGGACCCCTAAACTGCTATGGAGCCCATGGGAAGTGCAGGCCACCTAGTGTCCTGAACCCATGGTCCGAGCCATGGCGAGTTCGATGATCTACTACAGGGGCCTTAAGAACTCGAATAGGGTTTTGGGGCCCACTTTTCTTTCACTATAATAAGGAACCCCAAATGGGGCCCACTATACTATAACTATAATAAGGAACCCCAAAATAGAAATTATTGGTATTATTGTGTTAGGCCCCTATATTATGTAGATCCTTTCGGTGACTTTGCGGGCCCGAGGCTTCTGGGCAATCAGCCCCGAAACTACCAAGGCTCACCTACTCTCAACGTTAAGCTTACATACGCAGGAGCCAGAACTTTGAAGAAGAAACACGAAGCACCTTGAACCTTGAAAGCCCCGACAGGATTGGAACCCTCTAGAGCCTAAAAGGCCTACAACACCTACATATAAGGCCTCTATAAGCACTGAACTAAAACCTCTCAAAACCTATACCACCTACTAGACATCCTAAACTAACTATCTATATCCTCAAGCCCCAAAAATGTCAAGCTTATCCACAGCCATGCCCTGGCCTTGCAGTAGTTCTGCGGTCTTTGCGCAGAACGCTTGCACAGGATCCACCTTTCCGATTGCGCAGGGCTGCGACAGTAGGGTGGAAGGACTGCGGCTGAAGTGTCGTATGTTGAAATTCTAGTTTTGAGGCTAAAAGTTCGGTTTATGCAGGTTCAGGGCTCAAGTTCAGGGTGTAAAAAGGTTTGAATTCGGGATCGTGGGACCACAGGGTGCGGTGTAGTTTCCTCTGGGGTTCCTGATCCCCTAATCGGCTGTTCATGGTTTTGGGGTTAAACAGCTCAGAGCTCAGGGATTTCGGGTTGCGAGGGTTCAGGGATTTAGCAGTTCAGGGTGCCATTTCTCAAACGGTGCAAGACTTCGTTCAATGCCCTTGCAAGTTCGGCTTGCCCCTTCCGAAAGAAACTGCAACCCTGTGTAACGTGGGAGCCTGAATGGTGGGACGAGTTTTTTTGAAGGGTCAAGGCTGGGTTATACTCAGAGATCCCAACATCCCTTGATTAAGGAATATACATTACATTATAGGGGCCTTAATATTATGGTTTAAGGTATATTCCTGAATTAAGGGGATCTCTGGGTATCTGAATCTAGCACGGTAGAAGACTGCGACTCATGGCTTGCGGTAGCTCAGGCCCTACATTGCCATACCCCGAAAGCCTTTAGTATTAAGTCAAGTCCAATGCTTGCCTCTCTCACCCGAACCACTTCAACTCCAAAACTCACGTAGATGCTGAGATCAGACCCGAGGGCCCATGAAAACTACATTTGTAGTAGGGAGCCCCCAAATTGGTACAGGTCATAAGCCCCGATATTGCTTTTCGACCTCCGCCTCTTAACCGGAGACGACAGCCCGTGAAAAAGAATTGAACCGTAGCCCTTCGCAATTACCCCGCTGGGGCAAGAAGGCTGGCTCTGTCTGTAGCTTCCGGAGAAAAGGCTTGTGTTGTGTCATATCAACTAAATTGTGCTGTATGTGTGTGTACATATATATATATATGCTTATATGTATGTATATACATATTATGCTGTATGATTTATGACACAAACTCCAAAGCCTGTCAACCAGCAGCTCCCAATCCAAAACTCAAGAAAGGAGCCGTACTTGGAAGAGGCTTTTGAAACCCGTTGTTGTGCAGTTGCATAGGAAGCTATTCCGAAACTTCCAGAAATTTCAGACCCCTAGGTTCAGAAAGCTTCTCGTAAAGCCCTGGCTTCCCAACTCTCAAGTAGGCTCTATCTTGAAAATGCCTCCTCCGCGAGCAGCTGACAGTAGCAGTCGAGCCTGCGCGCAGCACAACAAAAGCAGTCGAGGTGTTCGAACATCAAGCCCTGAATACTATGCTCAAAAGAACAGGCACTAAACCCGGAACCCCATGCCCAAAATGCACCCGCAAATCAAACAAGCTAGACCACGGCAAACCCCCCAGTTAAACATGGAAGACTGAATGTGTACCACTATGATTATAATTGTTCTAGTTCCGAGAATAAGTATAGTAGAATGTCCCCAAACTACTTTTTTACTTATTAAGGACCCTACATTCCCTTTGCTTGCAGAGCTCCGGAAGGTGCTTTTGGACAAGGGATGACAAAGGCGTCTTTCGCGGTTCGACGGGATTCTAGGGCACTTTAGGGTTTTGGGGTTTAGAGTTTAGTACAGTAATTTAGAGTTCTCGGGATTAAGGCTCTGGGATAGCTCTTCCGATGCACTTGTCGCGCTCTGGCTGTGCAAGCATGTCGTGTTACTGTCGTATCACTTCTAACCTTGCCAAAGCGTGAAGCATCCTAAGCCCTGTCGACCCCGGATACTTACCCTACAAACCCGACACCCTCTACGCTAAGATAAAAGAAGCCAAACCTCTCCAGCGTCCGGAAGAGGGTGATGGCCACGGGGGGAGACCATGTCTCCTTTATCTCGCGAAGCATGGAGGAGATGAATGTTCACTTGAGGAATTTTGGGGATTTTTGAGATGATTGGAGGCCTTGGGGTCGAGGGTTTAGGACTTGAGGCTTTCGGGGTGTTGAGGGCTTCGTGGTTGGCGGGCTTGCAGTTACAATCGGACCGTCAATCAGGGCTTCGGGTTCGAAGTTTTCGGGTTTTATTGAGCTAAACTTCCTGCTTTGGAGGTTCCCGCAGACAAAAACATGTTGGAGATTCATGACATGATTACTCGGGTCCTGCACAGCAACATCAAAGTCTACCTTTCACAGAGTGGTAGCATCACATGTCTACCTACTACAGATTAGTAGAGGAGCCAGCGGAGTTGTATGTATTCCATGACGGTAAGTAGGAAAGCCCGAACTACGTTACAGCATGATCTATACGCTTCTGTATCGTATACTCTACAGCATATTCTGATAGACCATGGTTGGTAGCTAATGACCCATTAGATCTTGGCATATGGCAGTATATGTGAATGAAAGTGTATTATGAACGATATGATATACCTGGGTTGCCCGGGTTGCTGCCTACGGAACCAGAGCCCTCGTCGTCCTTCAAGCCGACTTTGGGCTAGGGTTGAAGGTTTTGAAGGGTTTTAGGGTCGGGGTTTCAGGGTTTAGAGTTTCAGGGTTGGGAGGGGGGGGATTTAGGGCTCAAGGGTTTCGGGTGCCGTTGGAGGCTTCAGTCGCAAAGAACCCAACATCTGCAGGTATGAGAACGTCCCCGCGTCCTTGTCGACCGCTCTATGTAGGTGCCATAGCAGCGGCTGCCATAACGCCGCCTACGTCACCGAACCAGGCCGAAATCATGAGAGCTAATAACCAGGAGTCCGAAGGAACAATGTCACTTGTTGATGCCCCTCGATTACACAAACTACATTGACTACTTCGTTGTGGCTTCGTGAACCCTTCTGACATCCTTATATCTCTCATACCCATGTGCTTGCAGAGCCCTCTTAGAAGGCTATTCGAGTCTTTACAGAAGCTCTTCGAACGGATCAGATTTCGGAGTCGGGATGTGCGTATAGGCTCCCTTGCAGTTGAATCCTTGGTTAAGGGTTCAGGACTCCAGAGCTTGGGGTTTAGTGCTACCTTAACCCCGAATAACCTACCTTTTCAAGGACTGACATATATATATATATATATACATATATATATATATATATATGGAAACCATAATAGGGAACCCTAAAGGGTAGGTTCTTCAGGGTCTAGGTAGGGCCTGGGGGGTTAGATAAAAGAAAGCAAGGTGTTAATAGATGCTGCTCTGGCGTGAGGCCGTCAGTTCCGTGTGGCGCCTCCCGCAACTCCACTTGCTGCAGGGTTCCAAGCATCCTGCAGCCCCGCAGATCATCAGCGCAGCTTGGAGGGTTTACCTACTGCAGACACACTCAGATGATTCTTGGGGTATGGCCGATAAGCCAAAAAAGTTAGAAATTTGGTGCTATCTAGTGTGGGCTCGTCTTGCAAATGTCCAGGGGCGTCTCCATACCTAAGACCCATTAAACCCCAAACACGTCACTCAACCAACAGAACCAACACACACACAGAGAGACACTACACCCAAAACATAAACCACACTAAGCCCATTGAGACCTAAACAATAAACCTTAAACCCTAAACCCTAAACCCTAAACCCTAATTCAATAAACTTGAAGCCCGGCCAGATTGACTGGCTCTGTATCTCCACGAAACCCCGCACCCTGAACACTCTCTTGGCTTTGGTGCGCAAGCACATGGGCTTTAAGGTAACCGAAATATTGCCTACCGCACCACGGAAGCCGGAAAAGACCGACATCTCAACCTGCGCTTTGTTGCCTTTTCAGATTCTGGCACTGGGCCACTGTGAGGTTCTCGTCCGATTGCAGTACGGATGACAATCGCTGTCTGAGTCTGTTCGCACCCGTATGGTTTCCCATGCGCTATGCCATCCTGCACCAGCTGAAGGCTTGCAACAGAACAGCAATTGACCTAAAAGCCGCTTAGACTGACGATCAACTCTCTGCATTTAACAACCCTTCTGCATGTACGCTGCAATGAACATGAAAGGCTACTCAAAACAAACGAAGGCTGGTACCCAACATTACGAACAGTGCTTGCCTTGTAGAGCAAGAACTTTCAAAGAAGATCGGGGCTAGGGAAGGTGGTCCATGTAGGGTGGAGGCTGCAGAGTTTAGCATTCATTCTAACACTGTCTACCAATAGAACTGGCTATGATACATTAGAGAGTCTCGCGCTCTCTCGTTCAGAATACCTACTGAGAGAGACCCGACATCAGCCAGGACTCAGCAGCCCATCTCGTAGCGAAAGCTCGTGTGTGCTTTGGCCCACTGCCTTCCGTCTCATCTTTTGAAGACTGCCCTAAACCCTAATCTCTAAAGCCTAAACCCTGGGGAGTTCAGGGTCAAGGGGCTCCTACAGTCTGCAGGGTCTTTTCATCGTCGGTGATGGACATCGTATTTCTGAAGATTCATGGCTTACCTTATACTGCTTAGTACTGCCAACCTGCATACTCTCTTGCTGCCATTGCCGATGACTGTGCTGGTTGTTCATGATGATCGTGGTGGGGATGTCGGAGATGGCTACTGTGTTGCACCGTTTCATCTTCAGGGTCGAAATTAACGACCTGAGAAGAGACGGGAGCGCTGAAACTCGAAACATGAAGCTTTATGCCTGTCGGGCTCGTTATCATAAATGTATTTAAATACTGAATTCCCCCCCCCAAACTCTGTTCTTGGTTTGCTCGATTTCGTGGCAGGTCCTCTGCAGTGCGGCGCACGAAGTCTAAGCAATCAGGGACACTGTGCAGCCTTGGACGGCGGGAGTCGGATTCAATGGTTTGAACTCCGACTCGGCGAAGACATGGAAAGAAACTCGCAAGACAGAATGCGTTGAGCAGAAACATCGACTTACTACCTACTTGCCTGTATGCCTGTGTCTACTTAGACTGTTCCAGGTCAAGTGTCTCGCTCTCGCTCTCTGTCTTAAGCTCTCCTTCTCTGTCCCTTTCTGCCGGCCGGCATCTGTCCATCTCCATCAAACTCTCAGTCATAGAGTGGCCTGAATAACAAGACTTGGGTTTCGTAAGTACCGCATATTGCACTATGCTAACACAAGTACTATCGGGAATACTATTTCTAAGTAGTCCGGGCCCTATAGTACTTCCGGGAAATCCTGCAGGAGATTCCTTGATCTGCAGACTGATAGCCCGAGATCCAGACCCTCTATAAACTTCTTTAAGGGGGTTATCTACGGTAGCATCACAGGGCTTTTCAAGGGGATATAGACTGTAGCTCATGTAGGGCTTACTAGCCCCGCGGCTTAGCATGTAGCTTGGGGTGTAGGGTGTAGCGTTGGCTTTACTGCGCCCAGCGTTTGGCATGTAGCTTTGGGTGTAGGGGGTAGCTTGGTTGGCAGGGTTTAGGGTGTACTTTAGGGTTTAAGTTTAGGGCATGCTCCTCAGAAAGGGAGCCTCTTGTAACCATAGCCAGGATCTGCTGCTTGGCATCCAATGTCGTTACAAAATCGTAACCCTGGTGTGTCGATCCACGATGCATCCTCTACCAAGCCTAAACTGAAACACTAAATATCCCGGAACCAGGATGAGATTCCCTGAACCAAAAACTTCCTAAACCCTAAGCCCCTAACCCCGGCCTATCAATTAGACTCTGAATGGAAACCACATCGCAGGCTTACTCTGCGCCCGGGAGCGCCGCAGCAAAGCGTACCGCCTCTCAGCAAGCAGTGGAAGCTTGTGGAGATAAGGTTGGGTTTAGGGCTTAGGGTTTGGGTTGGGGTTTACCGCAGCTTTCTCTCGGTTGGAGACCACAAAGACTTATTATATAGGTGATTCGTTAAGATTTACAAGCTTATTGTTGAGGGTAGCAGGTGCTACATAGGTTTTTTGTGCTACGGCAGCACTACATGCTTTGGCGCTTCCTCCAACTGGATTTTTGCATCGGTGTTTGTGAAGCAACCCATGGTTACATTTAGGTGCAAGTCGACTAAGCCCGTCTATAGGTCTGCTTAAATTCTATGGACACCCTAAACCCCCTAAACCCTAAACCGTTAGGTCACTAGGGGTCGACGTCTTCAGGGGGCCGGCACACTGAACCTAACTCCGATGGTCCGAAACCCACTTCCGAAGTCCCAGAGCCAATGCCCAACCAAGGAACAGAGCCTAAAGCAGCATGGATAATATAGGAGCCTTACTAATCCGAGTAGGTTTTTGGGGCCCATTATACGGTTTTTACTATAGTAGGAACCTTGAGTAAGGCCGCTATAATAACCACCAAAGCTTGAACTGGTCAGCCATAATGAAGAAACAAACCGCTCTAACACCCCGACACGAAGTTCGAGACGGTGAACCCTGGGAAAGAACGCAAACGAGTTCCTATATCCTGACTCTTTACAACCGGAAACAACAAACTCCTGCATCGTCATCCCCAAAACGCCCCAAGACTCTAGCCTATCAGCAAGCGCGCCAAGCACTAAACCAAGACTCTACCCTCATGACACTCAGCGGTGAACTAGGTCCAGCTTTTACAAAGTCCGCATAAACGATCACAGTGTAGCACGTACAACGACAGTCCTAGATAAGAAACCCTATACTTTAAACCCTAAAACTTGAAGCCATCACTAAAACCTGATACCTAAAGCCCAAGCCAAAACCATCCAATGCCTTACTAAGCCCTGCCTGATACCTTAAACGCTCATAAACACTCTATTGTTGCACTTGTTACGGGATTTAGTTTAAACATTCTTTATTATGGCAACTTAAATGACAAGGGGCCATCTAAAATCCATCCCAAAAACACTCAACCCTAGAATTCGCCCCCTACGACCCTAAACCGCAAGTTCTAGACCCTAAACCCTGACACCCTAGACCATCATAAACACTCCATAATCCCCAGCCTCTGACGGCTCCAAGTTCGAGCCGTCACTTAGAAGATGGTCGGCGACGGCGCGCCTTCGCGAGGCGTAGGGGCTGCAAAATCGGGTTTAGGGCTTAGGGCTTTCAGGGCTTAAGTAATTAATGTTTAGGGGTTTCGGGTCTTTGGTGGTTTTGGGGTTACAGGGTTTAGGGTTTAGCATATATTCAGGATCTTCAGTGCACTGTCGGACTGCCAATGCACATGTTCGGCCTCTCCAGGATAAGAAGAACACATGCTGCGTAGGTCAATGCTTGGTTATGTAGTGGATCGCACACCACCAAAGGTACAAGCGTCCGGCAGCATCGGTGCTGAAATTGTTGTTGGGTTGCCTAGATTCCTAGATTTCTTCGCGACGCCTGTAAATCAAAAGTTCCTTCAGCCGGGCAAGTAGCTGCAGGGACTCCACTGCGATCAGCTCCATTGAATCTTCAGGCCTCAAGACGGAGGCCCAAACTTGCAATGATGAAAATGCCTTGGTTGCTTTATGCGCAAGAGTCTTGGTGTCACTGCCAAGTGTCACAGACGTACACGGTTTGGTTTGTTGTCAGGTTTCGCTTTGAGACTGGAAAGCAGGGGTTTCTCCAAAAGTCTTGGATCCTGGCATAAAATGATACGAAAAGACACCACAGAAAGCCGTTCCCTACCCCAACGCCCGAGATGTGTCCATACATAGCGACAACATCGATCCAGGAGCTGGTGACGCAGCGCTGCGTCGGATAAGGCTTCGGTCAGCTGAACGAGGGAAATCACCTCCAGAAAGTTGGCTGTAGGTGCAGAGTTTAAAGTTCCAGTGTGCTGGGGAGTTACCGTCATTTGTAACACCCGATGATAGTGAGTTTGAGGATCACACCTGCTGTGGGAATTTGGCTTTGGAATCTCAGGCTCCCCTCCTGCAGGCTCGGGACTAGGCAAGGTCGCAAAATCCTAGACTCAACCTCTAAACCTAAAACACTGGAGACTTGCAACTGGCAGGCCAGGACTCCGAAACCTGGAGTCAACATGCAGGCCTTCGGCGGTCGTGTAGTAGTGTAGCAGTGTAGCTTGGTATAGTGTCTAGAAAAGTTGGGTAGATCAATTAAGTAGAATATGGTATAGAGGTTTAATACTGTGTCGTAGTGTCTGGCAGTAGGGTACAGTATAGTATAGCATAGCATGGCGTAGTAGAGTGTAACAATTACAGAAGTACAGTTGTACTGAACAGGAACTAACGCAACATGCGGATATTTCTACCAATAGGTTAAACCTCTGCAGTAGAACGCATGGTGGGCTGAGAAATACTTGGGTAGTATTCACAATAAAGGTCCCTAATTGGGTACCCTTTACCCAAGAAGGGACCATAATTTTGACAACCACCCACTTGATTCCCCGTTGCAACTTGATCAACAAGTGGGAGGACCCCAAGCCATAGAGAACGTAGAGGCATAGGTTGGTAACCCTACACCCTAAACCCTGACAAGTGGCGGGCCATTTCTTCAGGCGAAGCGGACCGTTGAAATCCTCCTAGGGTTCGGTGAGGGTAGAAGGAGTCGAAGGGCTAGGGTTTAGGTCGACCAGCAGGCTTGATCTTACTGAAAGAACTTCACAAAGGCTTAGCAAGCACACTACACGGTGCAGTGGTGACATTGTCCGCACCTCCATGCCATATTTACCCCCCATGTGTATGCATGTGTGTATGCACGCAGCAGTGTGTGCGTGTGTGTGTGTGTGTGTGTGCGCGCACACAGACACGTATACTGACATTTTGAACTTTCGCGTATGTATACGCATGCGATACAAATACGTACAGCATGCATACATTCATACATGAACACGTACCACATAAGTACGACACCCATGCATGTGCTCATACATGGACCTTGAAACATCCTACTGCCGTGGAACGACGAACATGTCGGAGCATGAGTCTATGTGTTTGCAACTGTTTGTGACTGAATATTAAATATATATATATATATATATATATATATATATATATATATATATATATGCATATATTTATAGATAAATGTGTGTATATATATAATATAGAGAGATAGATGTATATATATATATATATATATATGCATGTGCAAACACACACACACAGACATATATATATATATATATATATAAACACATATATAGACACCTACATTTATAACTAAACATCTATATATACTATATATATATATATACATGATGCAACAACCCTGGATATTGAGGCCGCTTCAGTCTTCAACCCGCAGCTCTAAACCCCTGAAGCCCCAACGGTCTTGAGTAATTTGTGTCCTCATAGTGTTAACAGGGCTTTGGGGCACAATACACTACACTCATAACAAGGATCCCCTAGAGAAGAATATGCTAGTTGCTTATAAAAAGATCCCAGCACTGGCTGCATTCCTCTTGCGCTGTGAGCACTGCAGCTGCCAGCGATTCCATGGTCCTTCGCCAAAGAAAAAGCACTGAGTACATGGGTTTGGAGGTTGTTGTCCCAAAGTTCAGGGCTACATGTACGGAGAAAGGCAGGCCGAATCGGCTCTGACGTGTTTCTGCACAGAGAGATTTTTCTGGCCTGGCGTCTCAACGCAGTGTAAACTATACGATGTCTCCGTTAATATTTGCAAGCTTGCGCAACTGACCCTGCGAAGCTTTATACGTCTCTGCAGAACGACAAGCTGCAGAATCCATCAAGCCACGACATCAATCCATCATCACCATCGTCCCCGCCCTCCTCGCTCTCGCTGCCGTCGGTGTTGCTACCGTTCCTCGGGATGTCATCCAAAGTCCCAGTCCTGGATTGGAGCACTCCATGTGTAGAGGTCTGAATGACTCTGCGCCCATAAATTCCCTGTGCAGCAACAGGATAGCTGTGGCATGCGAACCTCCGAGCAACTGGAGCAGTCAGCAGAACTCCCGGTCTTCGAACGCATATCTGTTGGTTAGTAGGCTGGTATTTCCTGGCACGGGCTCCAATCAACAGTTGCGCAATGTCCGTGTAACCGAGAATAGATGCTTCCCGCAAAGCGTCGTCAAGTGTCCCAGTGTCAACATCAGATGCCAGGAGCAATCGAACCATGTCATCATGCCCGCGCCGAGATGCAATTATCAACGGCCTAAAAACTCCGGTTCTGGTGGCCAAGTCCGGTTTGGCACCTGCCCCTAAGAGCAAGCGAGCTGTTTCCAGACGACCGAACAAACATGCGAGAGCCAATGCTGTGATGCCAAGAGCGTTACCAGCCTCGATGTCAGCACGAGCCTCTAGCATCACGCGAACGAAGTCGCTGCATCCATCATGTGCTGCAGATTGCAAGGGAGTAAAACCCAAGTGGTCTGTCGGGTTCAAACTGGCACCAGCTGCTACGAGCTGGTGTGCAATATCCGCGTGGTTGCGGCCAGCAGAGACATGAAGTGCGGTTTGACCACTGAAGTTGGACAGTTCTGTGTCGGCCCTGGCCTCCAACAGCAAATCGACGATGTCCACGCAGCCCCTGTAAGCAGCAAGATGAAGAGCCGTACTGCCACTGGTGCCAGACAACTCCGTGTTGGCCCTAGCTTCCAACAACAGTTTTACATTTTCTACGCGGCCTTCACTAGAGGCCCGTGCAAGTGGCCTGTGCAGATACACGTCGGCTACATCCGGATCTGTTGGGAACTGCAGCATTGTTTCGAGCGCATGTGCACAGCCCGAAGCGGCTTCTTTGATGATGGTATCGACAAGCGCTGGCGAGGCATCAACAAAGGGCAGCAGAACGAGCTGCAAATCCGCGGATGCATCTATCTTTGCCGTGTCAATCAACGGCTCGCCCTGATGCAAGAGCCTCTGCCTGAAGCGTGGAGGCAAGCCGAAATGATGATGCAAATACCGTTTCACCTCCTTGATATCTTCCCATTCCTCAGGAGCCAAGCTGGCCAGTTCGGCACCTGATAGTGTCCAAATGCGCAGCATCGTGATGCAAGCGGACCTACTCAACATCTGCCCCAGACTTCACAAGCCCAAATGTGGCAGAATGTAGGGAATCATCGCGTGACAGACGGAACATCCAAACAGTGCGGCTGAACCCCTATCCCTGACGCTCGGAACTTTACCTGCTGGCCCAGAAAAGCACAACAGCCCTTCAGAGAATGATCTTCGGCTTCAGTTATGCAGGACCCCAATATAGACCCCAAGCCGTTGTATCCTTCACACAAGGAACCACGAACCCGACAAAAGAAATTTCGTGGTGCTAAGAACCCCCCCCCCCCCAAGGCCCCAGGCTGCACTCCGTGGCCTACTCTAGCTGTAGCAGTGGAATTCAGGCATGTCGGAGGCAGCTCCGATTACGGCAATCCAAATCCTCTTAGCCCCCTCAATCCTTTAATGCCATTGTTAAATCGGCAGAGCCGCAGGCTTTACGCCTATTTGCAAGCCGGCTAAATGCTCGATTCCCATGACGAACCGGGGCTTTCTCAACTTGAGGCCCTGAGGCTCCTTCAAGGAAAGCTGTTATTGGGGCCATAATCATCGGAATAGGGCTTCTTCGGAAGGGGGCGGGGGATGTTGCAGTCGCGTATGTCATACCAACACGACTCTGCTACTTCCCGGTCTCACGAAGCACAGAAACTTTATGATCCAAGCACCAACATCTAGACAGTATAGACCATTGGCAGGCTCAGTGTACTGTAAATAAAACAAAACCCCGAAGTCTTACTTGTGCGTATATATGGTCGGACATTACGACGAGATACTCACCATGTGGCCACGGAGACATACAATCTTCAAGTCTGAGTCATTGTCCTGCGCCCGGCATGGCCCAAGCGCATCAGCGCGAATGCAACGAAACCAAGATGCCTGCGCCCATTATTGGCACACGCAAGGCAGTGTTGGCTGGGTCCGTGGAGATGTCGTGAATTGGGATAACACCAATCGTCTGTTGGGGTTCCGAGTCTCTGTAGAGAGGGTTAGAAAAAGTCGCACGGTCGCCGACAATTGAAACTCTGAACTTGGCCAAAAAAACATAAGTCATAAACAAACAGCTACATAAACATGCAAATTAACAGCTATATCGGTGAATGTATGTATTTCCTATTTGCCGTTTACATACACAACACAATATGCAAGGGATGTGTGTCACATGTGTATATATATATATATATATAGTCCCCCCCCCCCCCGTTGACAGACCAATGCCCTTTCAACTCAGTCGTAGCGCATGGTCTGTGATCGGGGGGAGCGGGCACTCAGCTTTCAAAAACTCAACTCCAAAATTTCCAAAATTCTCTCCCCTAACTTTCCGGATTTCCAAAACTTCAAAATTTCCGAAATTTCCAAAATTTCCAAAATTTCCAAAATTTCCAACATTTCCAAAAAGTCCGCCCTTATGTTTTGGAAAAATCCTGTCGACTAGGTCTGGAAATTTTGGAAATTTTTGAAATTTGGGAAATCCGGAAAGTTAGGGAAGAGAATTTTGGAAATTTTGGAAATGCTGGAATCTGTTCTATATATGACTCAAGTGAGATTACTATGTAGTGCTTACTATGTAGCGTATCAGCACAACCCTCATCCATACACATGTGCTCTGTAATTCCTTTCTTGGTGGGACACCCGCGCGCCTTATCGTGCTAGTCTCCGCATCGGACCAGAACTAATGTCACTTTCGGAGCCAATGTGACGTCACAGTAGGGCGAGGCACGCATGTCAATAATCATATTCATATTGGTAATAGTGTATATTAATACCAATACTAACACACACCTGTATGTGCTAATGTACTTAAATATGCATACCACTATATCAAAACACAAATCCTTTAACTCACTCATGTATTCAACTGTTAGTATTTTCATGTGATCAAGAGTAGTACTAATACAAACATTCTTGCGAATGTAGATCATCAATAATGTAATAGTACTAACGCTAACACTACTGCTAATACTTAACACATAGCTATTGATACTCCTACGAATACGCAAACTCTGGTGCGTTAACAGTAGTGCTATCACCAACACTAATACGGACTTTGATAATCTGCTGAATATTTCAAGAATGCCACTAGTATTACCAGCATGAACACTCATATTATGGCTAATACGACTATAAAGAGTCTTAATTCTAATAATATTGACATTAATACTCCTACGAATACCAATAGTATATTCATATTGATATGAATAATAATTTCATTACTAATAGACACCTGCATATACTAATGTACATAAAGTACATACCACTATCCTAAGATACAGATATATACATTAGTGCATTCATGTATGAATGCTTTGGCATAGGCATATACCCATATACCAATGTAACAATATACTTCTCGTTGTTGTATGAATATGTGACTATACTAATATACGACCGCTGCAACATGCAAGAATACCGACATGACAAGTTCGGACACTAATATGCCAACATACTGATATACTTAAAAATGATTAGACAGTACATGAATATAGTGCACATACGAGTATACTAATATGCTAACGTACGAATATACTGGTATGTTAATATACTAGTAAACTAATACACCAATATACTAGTGTATTCATGCACCAGTTGTACTAACATGTAAAACATACTAGTATACACGTATGCAAATACTTTACTGTTCGAATACATTGATGTATTGATATACTAATCTGCCAATATACGAGACTATCAATATACTAACATATCAAAACTAACTAGTTCTAATATTGATACTAATACTAGCACTTCTGCGAATATAAGCTGCTGTTAAACCCAGCATTAAGACTGATACTGATACTACTCGTAGCAGTGGTGCTGTATTACTGACATTGACACTGGCACTAGCGCTAACTCTAACGCGAACATGAGCACTTACACTAATTTATAGTTGGCAATACTGATATGTATACTTACAGCAAACAATAGTACTAATTTTAACAATAATACTCACCCTAATACCGATACTACCACAAAGACTACCACAAAGTGCCGCACGTCTGGTGCATGCGTCCTCAGTACATGGCATGTCAAAGTATACGTTGTATATCTACTTGAAGGTCTTACTTTATAGAATATCGTCGGGTGTGGTGTGTTTAGATACAATATCTCAGCCGAGTCACCTGCCAAGAGTACAGTGTCACAGGGCCATGGTCTGTCAATGGGGGGGGGGGTGAGCATATATATATATATATGTACATATATATATATGTATATCTATATATATATATATGTATATGTGATGTGCTATGTTTTAGATACATAGACCACCCTGAAGCCTCCTGTAAATCTCGACTTCCCTCAAGACCGTGCAATCCATGCCGCACCCCTTCGGATTTCTTAAAAGCTTTACGACGTCCTAAAGCTCCATCTTCTATGACATGCCATGACTAACCAGTGGTTTTGGGGGTTCCCTTGGCTCTTTAGCTCCTTATTCAATAGGAATTATCATGATCCCTGGCTCCTTAGCTCCCCCAATATCAATGGTTAGATGAGACTTGTAAGCCTGATACGTGTTGAATCGAAGGCCCCCAAAACATCGCTCGTTGGCCCCTTGTCTCGCCTCGGGTTTCGGAATCTCCCGGCCGAAGCGGCAATTGCCGGACAGAACCTATCTTAGGGTTTTGGGGTTACACTTTAATCATAATAAATCCAGAGTGCAGGGCTTGCAAGGTTTGCGCAATAGCGTTTCCAGTTGTCCGTCGTGTTCTTATCAGGCTTCAGGGCTTCCAGGGCTTTCACGCTGGATCAAAGAAGTCGGATGCACAAGCAACGATATCAATCTCACGAGACTACCGCGAATCCAATGCCCTGAGGGCTTGAATTTTGTAAGAAAGCGTGAGGGTAGGGTTTAGGTTGGCGGTCCTAGTGCTTGTCTTTCGAAGATTCCTGAGCCATAAGCTCTCCACCCTCCAACTGCTACATGCACACATCAGGGAAGAGTGAGTATAAAGGCTTCGTGAACTAGGGATGGCTCTTTGCCTTGCATGGAAGAAAATACTCCTCATGATCTCTCTTTCAAAGCATCGGGCTTGGCTATCTGGGCTGACTAAGACATAACCTCTGAAGCCTTATGCCACCCAAAGATTCTCATCTCTAAACCCATGCATCCCAATCCTGAACCTTCAACCCTAGATGTCAGGCCTTTACGCACGAACCCCATGACCCCTAAACCCTCAAATTTTACAGTCCCTAAAGCCAAGAATCAACTCTTGAACCTACTTTATCATCTTCGCGGTATGCTGCCTATGGTCATTGCCGAGAATACTAAGACGATTCTGATCTTTGCGATTGCAATTCCATGTGTGAAAGGTCTTATCTTCATCATCATCACCATTGGTGGTCTTACCATCAGTAAAAAATCACTCATGTTATGCTTGTCACTGCTATTCTTCTTATTCCCCGTTTAGAGTATCGTTGTCATAGACTCCAAGGGTAAAAGGATGGACCCTGAATAAGGACCAAGGCTACTATATACCCATTTCTATAGCCTATGATAGGGTAAGGATCCCCATTAATTGGGAGTCCCTCCTTTTCCCCTTTGATAGACAGACTGGACCTTCCCATCCCGTCCCAGCGGCGTCGTTCTGAAGAGCTCTTCGACCGACTCCCCAAGTTTCCGCACATCGGCTGTGCGAGGATCCTCCGTGCACCCGCGCTGAGGGGTGAGGGCTTATAGGGTTCAGGGATTATACGGTTTAGGGTTTAGGGATTTAGGGTTTACAGGTTCAGGGTTTAGCGTTCAGGGCTTGGGGCTTAGAACTCGAATTGGAGGGAATTCGGGGGTTTGAGGTTTAGGGCTTTGTTAGGGTTTAGTGGTTTGCAGTCTAGATGTTGGCAGTTTGAGATAAGGAACTGGGATGGTTGTCTACCGAGAAAGGGTGCAGGGTCAGATGCGGGATCATCAATGTTGGAGCAACATGAGACACCCAAACCCCTTAATTTCGAAGGCCTTCATCAGGCGGATGCTCTCTCATGCAGCAAAGCTGTTTGAACCCGAAAGCTCTAGGTCAGCGCCGCATTCCCAGACACTGCAGCCGGGATAGCTCTGCAGATGCATTGCCTCCCATACCAGCAGTCCTGAACCCTCAAGGCCCCAAAGACCTGAACCCTCAAGGCCCCAAAGACTTCGATTCTTCTGTTGCTGTCCTTTGCATCACTGTCAGCCTCAAGCCATCGTGCGAAGGCGTTGCACACCTTGCGGTTTTCGGAACATACCGCCTGCCCGAGGGAGGAGTCTTATGGACAATCGAACTTCAAGAGACTGGCATGGCATTAGGACCTCACACCTCATTGGACCCCAACTCTGAAAACCTCTGCCTCAAAGCTGGATGACTGAGTCCTTCAGGACCCGAAGCTGGCTCATCCGTGACTATCTAGCAATCCTAAGCAGTCTGAAGCCTCCCCGCCTGACCCAAATGAGTTGGAGTCAGCTGCGCACGGCTTCTCCTCAGCCTCTGCGATGCAGCGGCGAGGAATGCCTGAAACGAAGGTGGGCTTGATCTTGCGGTACCCACAACAGAAATCGAAATCCGCTTGAATTTCCAGGAAGGTATCTGCGAGTCAGCAGTCATACCCACGAGGCTGCATATGCTACTTACCTTGCCTTGTTGTCAACTGCGGCTGTGTCTTCTGATGTGAGCCTGCTGACTTCTCTTCTTCACCAAAGCAATGCTGCCATGTCTACTTACCCTTGTGTGTCGCACCTCGGAGTTTCGAGACATCCGTGGCTTCGGGGCCCTATAAAGGCGAGCGCCAAGGCGCAGTTGGGACTCCAGCAAAGCCTACGTGGCAAGAGCTAACTGATTTTGGGCTGGCATACTGTTTCGTTTCATAATGAACTAAACATAGGACACCGACAAAAGTATCTTGAGGTATGGGCTCCCTCCAGTGCTCGAAAAAACTAGACAAAAGTAGTTCACTCAGGGTCATGCAAACCGTCAAAACCACAACCGTGCACGTGCAACCATGCACCCCTGAAGCACCACCCTGTAGACCCTTCACCCAGACACTTAGGCCGCAAGCCACAAAATCACAACTCTACACCCGGAAAACCGTACAACCATAACCCTGCAGCCGAGTTACCTTCACTAAAGTCCTCAACCCCTTCCTGCTCCTCTACACTCGGGAACCTCCGTAAAACCAGAAAACCCTTAAGAGTCCCAGAGAATCGCTCTCAACCTCTCGTCAGACTCGATGGAAACCCCTTGAAAAGCTCCGGAGGCCTCGTCGCAGCAGCCCAAGCGTTGCATGGCCACCAAAATGCCACAAAGACCCTGGGCCGAGATCCCTCCCTCAAAATTACGGTAATTAAGAGGTTCAGTGTTTCAGGCTCAGGCTTATAGGGGCGTAGGGCTTTAGGGCTTTGGGGTTTAGAATTTCGGTGTTTCGTATGTTCTGCATCGACTTGTGGGGGGTGGAAAGGAACCAGGAACTAATGCGGAATGCGTTTATTGTACCTAGGACTTAGATGCAAGGCGCCCTGAGAAGAGCAATCCACTGTCACGAAGGTTCGTTCTTGCCAACTTGGGGACCAAGTTCGGACCAAGGCCTACAGTCTCCTAAACAACTACCCATACTATTTTGGTGGTTCCCTATTATAAATATATCATAATGGGCCCCAAAACCCTATTCTAATTATCAAGGCCCCTTTTTGAATCATTGGTGCCCGCCTGGAAAGCGACAGATCTGCAGTTTGAGTCTTGGACGGTGTCAGCACAAACACCCCTACTGACACCCTCGGAGGTCTGGCTTTCGATTCTGACCCCCACTTTGGGTTGAGGTGTTTAGGGCTTTGGGTTTCTACCCTTATAAGTCAATCTCTCCGACTTGAAATGGCTGGAAATCCACTCGCCTCCAGCGAAAGCGCCTCAACGAAACTCTGGCGTCGCCTTGGAGCTTGCAGGGAGGTCGGGGCGCTCGGTAGGGCCAGGGTCTCGGGGGATTGATGGTGGCTTCGGGTTCTCGGGATAGATACAAGGATCTGGAATCCCAACACTACGCACAACTTCCCGGAACTCTGAAAAGAGCTCTGTGCGAAGAGTGCATAGATGCTGCATCAGCTCGCGAACCGCCAGGGCCATGAAGCCTGAGTCTGAAATCCCACAGCCGGGACTCCAGGCCATGTAAGTTCCTGTACTCCAAAGCTTGAGCTGAAAAGAACAAGCCCAAACATCTCGGGGCCAACAAGTCGCCTGATCGCGACATGAAGCTGAAAAGTCCAAACCCAGAAGCCAGGAACCAGAGATGTAAACCCTCAGCCCTCTCCTCCCCAAAGCCGAAAGGCAACAGAACAGTGAAACTTCGACAGCCCATGCCCAGAAGCGTGAAACCACAAGCCCACAAAATACCTCAAGAAGCTCAAACTCAGAATCCCAAAACACTACAACCTAAACCCAAAGTCCAAAACCCCACGCCCTCGACTTTAGTGTATCACAGCTATACGTCCAACCGGGATCCCGGACTGACTTTGCAGCAACTTCTCCAGGGCCTCGGCGAGAGCCGAGCGGTGCGGCCCGCTTGGTACCTCCCAGGCGTCGAGAATTGAAAAAGAAGCCATCTTCTGGGCGCTTCGGGCTTGCATTAAGGTTTTTCGTGCTCTTCATTTTCTGCTGGAATTATGGATATTTTCTACCCAGGAACCCCAAACTACCAATACCATTCGGATTTTCAGGCAAACCAATTTTTTCTGAAGCTCCGGAACTCTGGAAGCTGTATTCGTCGGAGAGCACCGCGGCAAATGCTGTGGCAAATTGCGCCACGTCCTGGCTGGTTCCAGGCCATGTAACGATTTTTGGAAGCACACAGGGATCAAGATCGAAGTACCGAGATGCGGGGGATACTTACGCAAACGAGAATATCAATGCCGGGCCGAACATCCAGAGCCTACTCTGTACGTAGGTTTACGCACACCCACAATATCAAGCCCGTCAGTAAAGCCAGAAGCGGCCGGCAAGTAGAAGCCCCATGAGGCCTGAGCTCCAAGCTCTAAAGCATGAAGTGTAATCAGAAACAAGTGACTTCCGGGAATCCCAAGCCCGACACCCTAAAATCAATATTGTAGCGACCTTGATGATTACCTATAATTACTCTTTGGGGCTCCTTATATTGTATTTATGGCAGAATATACCCCCAAACCCCATTGTAATAATTAACGGCCCCCTATACTAATTCTCAAGCTTCAGCACCAAATGCCCGACGTCTCTCTAGACAACGTACTTCTGCCGCCTAGTTGGCCGGTTCTTTCTACCTGTTGGCCAAGCTGGACAATGCTAGTACTGCCGGGTATTGGTATTGTAGATGGACTGCTCTTGTCATTATGATGACGTTTTCCTTAGTGCTTGTGCTGAGTATGTACCTGGCGCCTTGAGTCGTGCAATAGTCCTAGTTCACGGTTGGGATAGGATTAAACATGTATTTTCCTGACTGGGTTTAAGTACCCATAAAAATATAAAATGTTACCAACTATGACAAAGAGTCAATGAAACTCAATTGCAGAATTTCGTTCCAGGGTGCAGGGGCCTTCAGTCAGTAGAGTCGGGTTTGGGGAGAGAACATACACGGTTGCCTACAAACGGCAGATGATGGGCATAGAATCATATAGGGACCAAAAGTGGATGTGAACTCGAAGTATTCAGAACCCAATGTAGTCTCGAACCAGTACCAGACTGCTACCACCGAGACGCATGTGAACATAATGGGGTTCTGCAGGTGCGACAACAATAAACTCTTTCAACCATTGAGTTACCACACCAACTCTCTGAAGCCCAGAAGACAAGCCCTCAGCCCTAAACCCTCCATAAACCCTATAAACCCTAAGCCCTATGTAAAGCCTAAGCCATACTTAATTTTGCCCGCCTGAGGCGAGCAGCTCTCGCGTAGCTTCGGCAAGGCATCGGCTGCCACCCCTGCCGCATTGACTTCGTTGCTTGAGGCGTGGGTTAGGGTTTCAGGGTTTTTAGGGTTTTAGGGTTTCGGGTTTCTCGTTTTTTGGGGCTTTTAGGGTTTAGGCTTAGAGGGGTCTAGGGTTTCGAAGTCAAGCTTGAGGTTTCAGGGTTTTGGGTTCAGGGGTCATCACTTCGTCGCTAGAAGCTGTCGTCTTGCGTCTCTTGGGGCCCCGAAATGGTGCTCAGAGAAAAACATATCTGCAAAACTTGCCCACGGAATCCATCAACGCGCACAACTAATCTTGCGCATGATGCAAGACAGAGATTTTGCAATAGTAACGGATTTGGCAAGAGGCTACATGTGTTTGACCATGTCAGCACTAAGTACTAGACCCTACACAAGCCTGGAGCCAAACCCAAAGCCCTGACGTCCATCGTAGGCACGTCTCGAAAACCAACACGTGAAAAAAAACTCTAATGCTTAAGAGCACCCAAAAAGCCACAACCCAAAACCCCGAAGTCACTACTATGTGTACCCGTGTAGTTAGTCCTAAACCGTTCAAACCAAAAAGCCTATAAAGCCCCTGCAAAATCCACACAAAGACCCTGCTGAAAACCTATGCCTAAAATACTAACCCGATACAACTCGCAACCCCATCTGAATTACTTCGTGCCCGAGCCACTTGAAAGGAATTCGTGCCAGCGCTGGCGGAGCTCCTGGCAGGTTGCGGTTAGTGCCCAAAATAGCGTGGAAAGCCCTGTAAAACCCAACAACAAAAGCCCCACACAGGTTTTGTGGTTGGGTCAAAGGTATACCCGAACCCCAGCGAACACAGGCTTGGTCTGGAACTGCAACAGGAAATCAGCACACGGAACCCTAACACAAAGGCTTCTCCTGAACCAACACCGGAAGCGCCACAGTCTGAGGCCATTAAAACCAAAAGCTATAAGCCCTAACTCTCAAGGTTCACGGTTTTTTGAGCCTGTGAGAGGTGCAAGGCATGGTGACGGCCTGAAGCATTACCTACGGTTCGAAGCAGTTGGCTATTGTGTAGCATTCGACCTGGGGGTTCCGGGCTTAAGTTGGGGCCTGGGCTCGGGTTGAAAATGGCTTGAGGTTTAGTGTCCTGAAGTTCGGGATGTCGTGGTTCAGTTTCCGGGTTTGCCTGGGCCAAGAATTTCTGGAAACACCCTCGGACCCCCAAACTCTAGACCCTGAAAGCCTAAACCCCAAGGCTCTCCCCCACACCCAAAGACATTGTGTTGCCGGATGAAACCTGTCGGCTGAACTTGAAGCTACTTTGAAGCTCTACACCTTGAGACTGTAGGGTTTAGGGTTTCAGAAAGGTCTTGTAGGCTTCGTCTTTCTTGAGCGTGATATCGAATGGCAGACCCAGGATTCAGCAACCCCTCTTCGAACTCTTCCAGGAAGCCCTTTGTAGGTTTTAGGGTCTACGGTTTTAGGGTTTCAGGGTTTGGGCCTGAGGGGCTATCTGCACGCAGATCTGCATCAGTTTATGCGCCTTCGGTCTGCTTTCGCCGGCACTTCCTCCACATGCCATCGCCAGCCTGTCCGTGCCAGGAGACGAAGAGAGCCGGTTTCTTCACCGCGCATGTTGACGCTTCGGAATTCATGACCACTTCTAAACAGTACCTACTTTAGAGCCTAAAAACGAGAAATACTTGCCCATATTGGTCTTTGTAGAGCCCCAGATTATATGCAGGCCCTAGTTTGTAGTACCTTTTTGTTGCTATTCCCCTAAATCCGCATTATGGGAGGCGGAGTCCAACTATGAAGTAGCCAGGGAGCGCCCGCACAAGTCGGAGGCCTGTGGAGGGAGTTGCAAAGCAACGACAAGTTCAGGGCGGACCACTCCTCCATCCTGACCCGACGATGGCAATATAGGGGCTTACGCTTTACACGGTTTAAGGCTTGAGGGTTTTGGGTATCAGGGTTAAGGGTTCAGAGGTTCCGTGAGGGTCTGGATCCATGTTGGTAAACATCTTCGCAGGATTCTGTAAACACCTGCAGCTTCGAAGGCTATCGCACTACTACAGACGTCCACACCACAATTCTGAACAAGTAGCAGTAGTGTCCCCCTGTCAGAGCCGTCTATCTTCGATCATGGAGCATAAGAGTATGTATACATACACACATCGAACCAAAACCAGTTCCAAGTGCTTACATTAAGAAAACTAAGGCCCCTGCTGTACTGGGGTTTAACGATCATGACCTAAGAGGGCAGCACAGGAAGCTTTGGTGAGCATTTGTCTGACTTCTGCTTGCGCTCACCCTGGCATGAGGACTGTGGCAAATTCGTTATCGGGTCCGGGGGTGGTCCAGCTTCGGAAGTAGCTATCTCACAAACTCAAACTGAAGACAATGAAGCCACTAATCCGTGAACCCACAGCACCAGACCTTCAAGAATCCCAGGAAGAGCCCTGCGTCCCCGAGCTCCCTCCTGAAGTCATCGCTTCCCAGCATAGCCAAGTTCTCCTCCAGAAGGGCCTGGACCATGGATTTTGAGGCTGAAAGGCTTTTGAATTTGAGCTCGTGGTTTAGGGAAGGTTTGGGGGTTGAGGCCCAAGGTTTAAGCTTGTGGCGCGGGTTTAAGACTGGCTGCAAGTGTCAAAAATCAGGAGCCTCTATGTAAACCCCAACTATGTTGTAGGATCCCAGCAAGGACCCCTTTCGTGACCTCTTCTTGGGGTTCTGGCTCCGGGTCAGGTATCTGCCTTGGGCCATGGCCTGCCCCGATCGGGTTCAAGAAAGCTTTCAACTTCATTTGGGCCTCGAATCTATGCTTGATACTACTTTGAACTAGTTGGGGCCCCGGAGGGCGACTTCGTTTGTAAACCTTCTCAGTTCTGGTCGCTTGAGGTGTCGGGGTTTTAAGGTGCGGGATGGGCGGGGCATAAGGAAACAGCGGGATCTCTCCAGCAGCTCATTCACAGAAGTAGCACCTCTCAATTTTCAGTGCCGCTACCCGTCACTAAACCCCAAAACCTGAACCCTAAACCTTTAAGCCTTTTGTGGAAGCACTATCACATCTCGGGCGTGTACTTGAACAAATGAGCCGAAATCCATCACAAACGCAGGAAGCATCTCACACAGTCTTGACAACGTCAGCAAGTCTGTGACATGTACCGTCTTGAAGCAGGTTTGCTGAGAAGGTGAGCAAAAATTCCCCATGTGATGCACTGTCTACGAACTCTGCTCTAATTGGACATCCCCACGCCCTAAACCTTGAGGCTTCAAAACTTCTACCCAGAGGCCCCATAGTAGTTCCTTTTTGGGATTACCGTATACGATTCTATATACGAACCCCCAAATCGAACTACTTTGGGGCCTTTATGGACAGCCTCCACTTAAAAGCTTCCCAAACGGCGGCCTCGGCATCCGCCCGTGGGAGCTGTGCACGCGCAAAGGCATTGAGGGTGAGGCTCCAATCCTCCAGGCTCTGAGCATTTAGGGCCCGGAATAATTAGATAGGATTGTCAACGTCTATTTCCTTGCAATCCAGGAGCCACCAGGAAATGGCTCAGCTAAATTTGTAGACTCCTAGATTGGGCAGTTTTACGGTACAAGGGGTCTAGAGTTGAGAGTCAAGCCTTCACGGGGTGTAGAGTTTAGGATTGGGGCTTACGATTTACACGGTCGACAAGGTTTTGGGTCTTGAGGGTTATATAGCGTCTGAACAGAGGGGAGCTTACGTGGTCTGCTGGTTGTGCACGGGCCATGTAGAATGTAGACTGGGCCCGAGTCCTAATGAAGTTCAGACAAACCCTGTAATGACGAGCTGCACTCCTGGACCCCAACATCCCAAACCCCGAAACAACAAAAACAACACCAAACCCCGACCAACTTCTGCTTCTCTCCTTGGCGCCCAGGGCATCACCAGCCCAGCCACGTGCGGCCGACTCAAGAAAACGACGGGGCTCTTTGCCTGGAGCGAACGATGGCCACGGATTGCAATCGGGTTCTGACTAATCTGCCGGCCTTAAGCATCAGAATAGTTAGTCGGTAATCCGGTAGTACGGC